GGGGGGGGGCCCCCAAAACCTTCTCTAAATCTCCCCCCCCTTAAACACGCCCCACCCACAAAAAATAAATGGACCCCCCCCCCCGAAAAAACCATCTCCTTTTTTGAAAAAAAAAGGGCGGGGCCCCCTGGCAATTTAATGTACCCCCAACCCCCCCCTTGTTAAAAACCAAACACAAGGGTGGGGAAAATTTTACTTCACCGTTTTGGCTTTGCTCCCCCCCCCCCCCCCCCCACCGGCAACAGGAGAGGCGCCCCCCCGCGCCGCGGACGCCCTGTGGGACAAAAGTAAGCTGCTCCCGACGATCGACCCGCTTTGGGGCATAGGCTTTTTGCCCCCCGCCCCCCCGGCCCTCTCTCTCTCTCTCTCTCTCTCTCTCTCTCTCTCTTTCTCTCTCCCTCCCTCCCTCCCTCCCTCCCTCCCTTTTTCTCTCTCTCTCTCTCTCTCTCTCTCTCCCCCCCCCCCCTTTTTGCACCGCGGCGGGCTGGCACCTCAGACACGGCGACAGAGTAATCAGTCTCATGAATTATGATCATTAGACGACGACGACTGGCACACGGCGGTTGACTTGGCGTCCCCCCAAGACGAGGAGGGCGGAGGCGGGAGGGATCGGGCCCTCGAGGCGCCGCGAGATGCCGCGAGATGCCGCGAGATGCCGCGAGATGGAGCGAGATGGAGCGAGATGGAGCGAGATGGAGCGAGATGGAGCGAGATGCCACGCTCGTGTCCGACCCAGCTGATATGCACCCCCTCCCCCCCCCCCCCCTGCCCCACCACCTCGTGAGGGTGTCTATCAGATACCTGCTTCTTGCCCTGCCTTTAGGCGGCGTGGAGCGAGGCGACCTCACGCCCCCCTCCGCCGGGCTGTGCGCCTCCTGGGCGTGTGTGTGAACGGCGTCTCTTCACACGCGGCGAGCCGTGAATAGGCGAGCACCATCCTCGCACACGGCGCGACGATTTCCTCCTCGTCTTCGCAAGACACCGGCTTCACGGTCGGAGGGGAGGGCGCCAAGTCGCGGGACGGCGGGCAGGGCTTCTTGGTGGAGTGATCCCGACAAAACGGTGCGAGTGGCGCGGGCTGCCCCTCCGGGTTGCGGGCTGCCCCCTTTGCGGGGGTGGGCGGGGGACCCGCGGGAGGACCCGTGGGGCTGGGCACACACCCCCGCCTACCGGGGCACCGGGGAAGGCACCCCCCCCCCCCCCCCCGGTTCCACACATGTGCAACATGGATGTACAAATAAAAAACCTCATCCTCAAACGATATCTCGAGCTCACACGTCACACAATCACAACACAAGCTGAGCGACCCTCTGCCTCTCCCAGGACCCAGCCTCTCGAAACTCGAACCCGGGTGTGCCCGCTCCCGCGTCCCGGGGCGGTCCCGCCCGGTCCCGCGCCTCCCGCACCTATCACTCCCGCGAGCCGCGACCACGGTTCACGCCTCATGAGTTGACCTTCTTGGGCAGCACCACCAGCATTTCGCGGCTGTCGCGCTCTCTCACGAGTACCTCCCGCCCGCCTGCGCCTTCTCCATCTGCCGTGCGACGACGTAGAACCAGTACGCGATCTCGCAAGTCTGGTCGACCACCTGCGCCTCGCCATACGGCGTGCCGCGCTCCCATCCCCAGTGCAGCACCCGCCCGTCCTCCGCCTGCCCCGAGATCGTGCGAGGTCATCCGAGATTGCCCGAGATTGCCCGAGATTGCCCGAGCTCACGCCCCGCCTGCCCCACACGGATGATGTGCCCCGCGATCGAGCGGACGAGCTCCCAGTACGCTGGCTTGCCGGTGAGGTTGCCTATCGGCGATTCCACCGCACGATTGATCGCACCGAATGCATGAGTACTCTGGCCTGCCCGGCCAGGCTGCCCACGAGCGAGGCGCCCCACATGATCTTGTGCGCGATGATGCTGCTCCTGCTGTCCTCGTGGCAGCGCCCCACAAACTCGAGGATCGCCTCCGCCGTCTGCATGCGAGGCACGGCGAAGGGGAAGGGTCTCTCGTCACACACACACACACACACACACACACACACACACACACACACACACACACACACACACACACACACACACACACACACACACACACACACACACACACACACACACACACACACACACACGGCGGGGTCGGGCGAGGGCGAGGGCCGCCCCCTTCGCATCTCTCCACCTCCTGTGAGTCCGGCGGAGCATGTGGCGTCGCAATCCGATGCGAGGCCCAAGGTGGCGCGCGGGCGGGCCTGCAGGTAGGACGGCTCGCCGGTGCGGCTGTGCAGGTGGGCGAGGAAAGCGACGGGGTAGCCGAGGGACCACCAGCACTGGTCCGGCTTGGTGCCTTGAGAACAATAACAATAGATGCTCACGAGTGAGTTCATGATTGATCCGCACTGGTCGGGTTTTGGTGCCGTCGACGATCGCGGCGAGCTTGACGCCTGATCAGTCCAACCAATCCGCCTGGGGTCGTGCGTACGCTGGCAAGCCCCTGCGCGGCGGGCTCGGCGCCGGGGTCGTCGGGCGAGAAGGAAGTGAGGAGCGCGAAGTTGTCGTCGAAGCGGTTGTAGTACGTCAGCGCCGGAGAGTGCATGTGCGGCTGCTTGGCCACCATCTTGACGATCGTGTCACCTACGCAGTGAGATCACAGAGTCATAACCATGCAAGCAAGCAAGCCACCACCCTTTGACGAGTCTGCCGATGAGGCGCGCACGCTCGTGCTCGCCCACGTGCAGCATCGTGAAGCCTAACCTCGGGCGATCTCATGTGATCTCATGTGATCTTGGGTAATCGCGGGTGGTCTCCAGTAATCTGGTGCCGAGGTGAGCGGACGTGAAGATGCAGTTCTCGTACCGCATGTCGAGCGGCTCCTGCAGGATGCCCGCGTGCGTCGCCGCATTATACCAGTGACGGTCGACGTACTCGAAGGCTCGGCCCACAAAGTCGTTGCGCGAGAGGCGCACGCCGGCGGTGATCCACCACTGGTTCAAGTACGCGTAAAAGTCGTTGAACTCCCAGTGGAGCGACTTTTGAGCAGGCGCGTAATGGCTTGGAGCCGGCTCGTTTGTGAAGTCGCCATTTGGCCGGAGGAAGCGGCTCACGCAGAAGTCGAGCATCGCGTCCGCCTGAGCGGGTCGTCCGCCCCAGACGAGCGCGTTGGGAAGCTTGCAGTAGTGACAGGCGTCGTCGAGACCGTCGAGGCCGCCGTCGGGGCGCTGCAACGCGCAGTAATAGTCGAGCATCCGGTCGGCAGAGGCGCGGATCTCGGCAGGCGTGACGGAGTTGTCGACCGGCGCTATAGAGGGCTGCGTGGAGAAGCAGCGCGCCAGCCGGAGCGAAGGCTGCGATGAGAGATGGCGTGTCAGTCGGAGTGGCGAGGGCCGCAAGGAGACGAGCCGTGCCATCGGGGCCGCCAAAGCCCCTTTCATAGCCGGTTTCGGGCCAGCTGGGCCGGCGGGCGGCCTTCGTTTCGAAAAAAAGAAATTTTTGGGCAAGAGAATAGCTAGTGATCTGATCACCCGAATACCACGTTCGGATCGCTCCTCATCGCAAACCCTGTCAGCAGTTCACCCTCGGGTACTGAGAGTATGTTCGTAAGAGCTACATACACTGAAAGAGAATGAGGACATGCGGAGGCCGCACCTCTAGCGAAGTGGGAGACTACATACTCATCGCCCTAGCTTCGCCGCCAGCGCCGCGATCGCCGCCCGCAGCTGCTCCCGCTCTCCAGCAGGCAGTCATGCCGGCGTCGCGCTGGGCCTGGTCGGTGCGCTGGCGCTGCAGCAACGATTAGTGCAGCCCACTCCACCGGCAGATGTCGGCCGACGACGCGGCATCGCCGGAGCTCTTGGCACGCTTGGGAGCTGGAGCGGCCGCGCCCTCGCCCCGGTGCTTCAAAGACGCGTGCATACGGTGGACCTGCTGTGCTCGGGCCAGTTCCGGAACACTTCAGGCACGCGCGCGCCACACAAACACGCCCCGTCGGCCGTTGAAGCTGGCTTAATCTTCCGTTTTCCTCTACTGGAACCCCGCGCGCCCTGTGACAGCTGTGAATTCGCGAGAGGTGTGCGTGACACCTGACACTCACTCAGACGTCTCATGTTGTCGGAACACGACATGTCGGCATCGAGTCTCTTTCCAGCACGGCATCCCGCCGAGAAGATCCGCCGCGCAAACGATGAGCCAACAAGTTCGAAGTTGCCGGCCGATGCCCCCACCCGCTCTCCCATCCCGGTGCTCGATTCGCAGCTCTGTGCGCACAACCCACATGCTGGCCTGCAGCAGGCTAGCGCTCAGGCAGCGGCGCCACTGTTGCCCGCCTCGTTCTCGTTCAGGAGCGCCTAAAGCGGCAGTTGCTCGCAACGTGTAGAGAAGGCCTCTCAGGGCTCTGCGGGCCGGGCAGCTAGGAGCGCAACCTCGTCGCTCTTGGGCAACTTAGCCGGCGACCGCTCCTCGGCGGCGGCCTCGGCGTCTGCCTTGCGCTTGTTGGCACACAGCGCCTTCGCCTCCACAACCGTGGGCGACCCGACCGGGTCCTTGCGAGCGCGCTCGGAGGTGGCCTCATCGCCCCCACCCGCATCCAGCGACGCCTGGGTGCCCGACTTGCAGCTGCTTGGATCGTTGGGGTTGCCAGCGCCCTCCACGACAGCGGCACTCAACGGGCCCGAGGACGGCGACGCCACCTCGTCCATGTCGACGAGCAGCGTCTCGGCGGAGAGAGCTGGGCGAGCGGCCGCCGTATCAATCGCAGCCACAGGCTCTGCAGGCTCGACCTATGATGCATCATTGGAGCGGTCCGAGTGTGTGGGCTCTTGGGCTGCAGCACAGATGGAGATTGCCCCCGCCGTCCCCATCTCCGTGTCCTCGGCCAGCGAGGGCGCTGGCGGGATCGCGCCAAAAATGGTGACCGCGCGCTTGGGGGCGTCGCCGCCTGTACGTGGCGAGCTGCTCCGCAGGGCTTCATTCGCCAGGGCAATTTGCTCGGGTGTGGTCGGCCGCGGCATCGGTGGAGGCAACGCCACGGACGGGATGTCATGCTCCGCGAGGCTCGGGGGCGCGGCATCGAGGGCGAGTGGTGCAGGAGCACTCACGGGAGTAGGCTCCTGCGCAGCCGCGGCGGCCGCATCCGGCGCAAGTTCCGCGGGGTACGCGAGAAAGAGCTCAAGCGACTTGCTCTCCTCGGGCATGCCAAAGCTCGCGTCAGCCTCTCCGCCGCCGTCTTCCTCTCCTGGCGGCGGCGCCGCCGCTTCCGCAGCACTCTCCGGCGCCTGCTCGGCAGCCTCGCGAGTCGCATCTGCCTCGGCGGCGGCGGCCGCAGCCGCAGCCGCAGTCGGATCGGTCGTCACCACGTCCACGAAAGTGGCCGCCGCCGCGGCCTCCGGCACGGGCAACTGCGGCGGCACCGGCAAAGAGTAGAAGGGTGACGCCGTGACGTCCACCGACTGCTGCAGCGCGTGTTTCACAGCCTTCGTGATGGGCTGCGGCCGGATCGTCGCGCTCGCCGCAAACGGGGGGCCGTCGACAAGGACGGGCGGCTGTGCCGCAGGCGCGACAACGGACGGAGCCTCCTTCGAGAGCGACGCCTCCTCCACGTGGGCTGCCTCAGCTTGCCGCGCCACCACAGCCTCGGCTGCCTCAGCCTCCTTCTCCACAGCCTCTGCCTCTGCCTCTGCCTCTTCCGCCGCCTCTTCCGCCGCCTCTGCCGCCGCCTCCGCCTCCGCCTCCGCCTCCGCTGCCGCAGCAGCCTCCCCCGCTGCCTTGCGCCGCGCCGCTTCTTCCTGCCGTACCCGCTCCGCCTCCGCCGCAGCCTCCACAGCCGCCTCCTCATCTCGCTTGTCTTGCGCGGCCCGCTCGGCTGGCAGGGGAGGCGATGGGGGGTCCGGCTGAAGCAGAGGGCGGGACAGCGACCCAGTGTCGTCGAGCTGCTGCAGCGCTTCCTTGGCGTGTGGCTGCGGAGCGACGGCACTTGCTGAAAGCGAGACCATCTCCTCGTGGACTTGCTTGAACTCGTCTTCTGTCGGCTTGATCGCGCTTGGTTTCTCCTCGACCTGCATCGGCACCGCCGGCCGCGGCAGCGGTGGCGCTCGCATGAGCTGGGCGATGGAGGGCTCTGAGCGAGCGAGCCCGATGATGCGCTCGTCGGCCGAGGGGGGGGAGGCCGTGCCTATTAGCGGAGCCACTGATGTGCTCACTCGTGTATGAGCCAGCAGAGACCACTTGGCTGCAAGGGGCTCTCCATCTCCACCGGACTGCGTCGATGCCACCCGACGAGGCAACGAGAATGGTCTGCGCAGCATCGCAAGGTCCTCCGATGGGGCCATCGTGGGTGCGGCCTGGGCGGCGACTGGCAGCGGAGGCGGCGGGCCAGCGGGCGGCGGGAGCGGAAGAGGCGACGAGAGGGGCACATTCCGGAGTGGGTCGTCCTGGGAGAAGGTGGCCAACCCCGAGAGCTTGAGAACGGCCTGCTCGGCGGTGTGCGAGGGCGTGGAGAGGAGGTAGGTGGAGTTGCGCGTGAAAACGCGTCGATGGTCCACTCGGACGAGCGCCGAGGTGCGCTTGTACTCGCCACGGTCGAAAGGGCCGGAGCGGAACGTGCCCGCGAGGCACACCCGGAGCTCACCCGCGTAGTGGACCTGCTCGATCGACCACGCGGTGATGGAGGGCGTCCCGGCCCGCGCGACCTTGTCGGCCGGAACACGAGGCGATGGAGGGGCCTGCCGCTGCGGGTCGTTATTGGACAGCGTGGCCCCCATCGAGTAAGCAGCGGCGAGATTTTCGTGGCCCTCGATGACTGCACGCACCACCGATGGCGCCAGCTTGAGCATCGAGCCGTAGCGAGTGACGAGACCGACGGCGAGGAAGTCATTGACGGTGCGCTCGGTGCGCGGAAGCAGCAGTGCTGCGAGCTCGCGCGGGTGCACGGAGATGCAGCTCATGTCCAAGTCGCCGCTCTCGCAGAAGGCGCGCGCCGCATCAAGAAGCGCGTCGATGTCGACGTCGTCGAGGAGGATTTTCATCGTGGCGAGGAAGAGGTTGACCGCAGACGGAGTCCCTGCGAGGCGCCGATCGGCACGCTCTGAGCGCCGATTTAAAAAATCCGGCGGTGAGAAGAAACTACAAAGGGTGCGCTGCGCGCTGGCCCACACAGGCCAGGAAAAGATCCCTGGGAAACGTTGATTCCTCTTTGTCGACGACTGTGCATGTGCATGTCCCACCCCGCGCACGGGGAGCGGTCCCGCATGTGTGAGAGATTTTTAGCAATACCAAACAACTCTAACACTCACATGTCATTTGGGGCCTGGAGCCCTGTTCACGCGCGCGCGAGACGTGCAGACAGGGTTGCCAGGTGAGAGCGAATGGCGCGGTTCACGCCTCGCACAACAGAGAGAGAGATGCGCTCTGCATGGTGGGACATAAAAGAGAGCGAGTACTTGGGCGAGTAGGCCGTGCGGTCAACGCTGCCGCGCGCGACTTTGCGCGCGAGGCGGCGCAGCTTGAGAACAGCGGTGGGCGAGAAGCCGCCGCCGAACGTCTCGTGGAGCAGCAGGTTGAAGTTGTTGCGCTTGACAAAGATCGCGTCGTGGTAGAAACCGCGATGCGCCTTGACGTAGCCGTGGCCGGTCTTGTGGGAGAAGGGTTGGCCGGGCTGCCCGCGCGCCTTGCAGCCCATGTTTAGGCGGCGGGCCTTCTCTTCGGTGTTGCCAAAGGCGTAGGAGTGGCCAACGGAGGCGGGCGTGCCGCCACTCGAGGCGTTGCCAACGCCCGGCGAGGAGGTCTTGAGGAGGGGCGTCCAGAGCTTGATTTCATTCACGTCATCGCACCCTCCCGGGCCAGCGTGGGGTTCCGCGAGGTCGACCTTGTACCCCTCGTTGTACTGCCGGGTGAGCTCTGGTTTCTCCTTGTCGCCGTGCACGACCGGCGCGTTGGCCGGGGCGCGCATCGCGTCCGCCCAGGCGGCGAGGACGCCGTCGTGGGGCCGCCGGTGGTGGGCCTTGTTGTAAAGGTAGTCGCCGAAGAAATCGACTGGCATGCCCCGCTCGAGCGCGACCCGAAGGGTGGGAAGCGCCGCGGAGAGCCAAAGGCCGAGCTTTCGCTGGAGCTCGTCCTGGAGGGTGTCGGAGGAGAGGGCGGTGGCGTACGTACCGTCGACACGGACATCGAAGGCCTTGCCGGCGAAAGGCGTTGAGGCGGAGACGAAGCGCGCGGCTTCGCGGTTGTTGACGGCGCTGTCTCCGAGGGATGGGTTGTTCTTGACGTGCACATCCCGCGCCTTGACGAGCTCCTGGTGCTTGTGATTCTTGATGGCAGCGAGCGCCCGCGGCCGCGGGTACGTGGATTTGCAAGTGCCATTGAGAATCGCGTCGGTAGCTGGAAGGGACTCGGGCTCGGGGAGCGGGACGCTCTTGGGGTAGAACTCAGTCAGGTAGCCGCCGCGGACGGTGTAGTACTTGTTTTTGTCGCGGGCGGCGCGCTTCTCGCACACCTCCTTCCAGTCCGAGAGGGCGGACTCGTAGGTGGCGATAGCTGCGGCGATGGTTGGGTACTTGGACGCACCTCCCTCGTCGAGGGCGAAGTCGGGGTTGTGGGCGACGAGGGTGCGCCAGTTCTTGAGGAGCGACATGGAGAAGTCGCTGTCGGCTCGCGAGAAGGCGGTGTCGATGTTGCACCCGCCCATCTCGGTCGGCAGCTGCGCCTGGAGCCACGCGAGGTCGCGGAGCGCCTGGGGCGAGGCGTCGGCGCGAGCAATGCTCTCAAAGGACTTGCGGATGCGGTTGTGCGCAAACTCGAGAGCCTCGCTTGTGTGTCGCTTGTGTTTTGTTTGTCGCATGTGCGGTCTCGTTGATTGTGCAGGGATCTCATGAGGGATCTCTTTGTGGGGCTTGGTCGCGCGCCGACTAGCTTTCTTTCTCGCACGTGTCATCCCCAAACGCGGGGAGACATTACGTGTGCAGGTTGTAAACACTTCTGCGTTCTGGAAGGCGGGTTGATTCAGCAGCTGCAGTCAGGTTGGATGGAGTGACCCTGCACACTCACTTATCGATCGCGAGAACCATTGTGTGTTTTGATAAGAGACGGAGCCCGGGGCGTCCTCCACTTTCTCTCGCATCCATGAGAAGTCTACACAGGGGTAGCGCCGCCCTCGCCACCTCCAGCGCCGGTACTGGTGTACAGCACCTCAAATCTCCATGCACTCCTCATTCTTTCTTGCTGTCCGCGTTGTTGACATAGACGCGCAACGTGGCTGACCAAGCTCATACAAAAGGATGCGAGCCCTCGGAAAGAAAAAAATGTCGAAGGGAGTTCTTATGAAATGCTGATGGAAAAAATCACGGAAAAGCCTCAAAAGGAAAAACCACATAACGGGCGCCCGTCCCGGCTGTGAACGACTTCTGACTGTCGTTGCTGTCCATCCCTTTCTCGACTGTCTGAGCTTGTGCGTCTTGGGTCCGGGGTTGTGTTTTTGTGTGAATGTCCCACCCCCTTGCGCGCGGGCCTTCTAGGCCCGCGGGTAGTCTCCCCCCATCCCCAGGGCCTCCAGGGCTCGCACCTCAACCTCTCACAGACCAGCGCATAGCGCCATAGGACGTATTTTCTTCTCGTACATGTGCATAGGAACATTCCTACACATGTCACAAGGCTGTGTGAACACCTCAACCTCTCACAGGCCAGCGCACAGCGCCATATAGGAGGTATTTTCTTCTCAATAACAAGGCTGTGAACGCCGTCGACCGCACCGACTACGGCACAGCCTCCGGCAGCGCCCGGGGCTTCGCCCAACACCACTCGCAACAGCTCTCGCGCGCCGCCGTCAGTGGCGATGCGCAAAACATCAACAACGCTGCTCGCAACATGCGTGTCGCGCACTCATTCATGACCGGTCTCAATGCCCCACCCCCCTGCGCGCGGGCCTTCTAAGCCCGCGGGTAGTCCCCCCCCCATCCCCAGGGTCTCCAGGGCTCGCACCTCAACCTCTCACAGGCCAGCGCACAGCGCCATAAGAGGTATTTTCTTCTCAATAACAAGGCTGTGAACGAGCGCGAGGCGGCGCCATCGAGGCGTCGCCATTTAGATGCTCGTCTTCATCACCACCAGTGCCACCTACCAGCTTGCAGCAGTGGTGATCAGCCGACCTGGCTGGCCCTCATCGGCTCGCTCGCTCATCGTTGCGGCCGCACCGCCGGGGCCACCGACCGCAAACTCCGACGAGTTGTTTGCGGGCATGAAATCGCCGGTGCCTCTCGAGTCGCCGGAGGGACAGGCCGCTCTCGCGCGTCTGCAGAGTGAGGGGGCCGCGCCGCCCGGGCCTCCGACAGCTAACGCCGACGACGTCTTTGCGGGAATGAAATCGCCCATCCCTCTCGACTCGCCAGAGGGACAGGAGGCACTGGCGCGCATGGGTGTCAATGCCGCCAGCGTGCCGCCGGCGTCTGCTCCTGCCAGCCCGGGACCGCCGCCTCCAGCAGCACTGATTCCGGACGAGAAGTTGTACCCGATGCCCGTGGTTCCGGGCGAGACATCACAAATCTTCCTGCCCTTCCTGCCCTTTGGCATCGCCCGGAGCGCCTTTGCAATCAGCGCTGGCGCCACCGCCGTAATCTTGGGCCTGCTCTTGTACCTGCTATCTCTGACCAGCTAGCAGACCGCATTCGAACGCACGTGGCATGCAACACCGGCACCGGCACCGGTAGCTCTCGCCCGGTTGCGTATAACACCGATAACCGTCGCGCATACTTTTGAGACCGGTCGGCTGCCAAAAATAACTCACAGGGTCTCATACGCGAGAACATCTAGACTCCTGTACAGTACGACACAATTTTATTAACACCGCCCCGCGCGTCGGACGCATGAGATGGTCTGAGGGTTCGACGACGGCCCGTCGTCGGACGTCGCAGGCCGCCGCGCGTCTGTGCGGGTGTGCGGCCTGCGCCGTGCGCGCCAAGATGCGCCACCCCCCGCGAGAGAGCCCAGTCACGTGGCCTCCTCGACGCCGCGCGGGGTGCGGAGGTGGGGCAGCTCCTCTGTGCCCTGGAGCAGCGCGGCCTCGTCGGAGAGGAGCGACTCGACATTCTCGAAGTGGACGCCTGCAATCAACACTTGGAGTCGTAAACTCGTCCGGGAGGACTCTCGACACTCTCGAAGCGGACGCCCTGCGGCTTCAGGCCCGGAGGCAGCTGCAGCGCGAGCGTCTGCTGCACGCCCGGCTTGATGAGCCGTGTCACGTCGGCCCAGTGGCCGATGAAGCGCGCCCTGGAGGGGGCGATCGTGTTGTACGCCTTGCGCATCAGCAGAGGCGTCCCGTCGATGGAGCCCGCCGCGTTGAAGGAGTCGTTGAGCAGCGGCTTGTACCTATCGAGGTTTCGTACTAATGACGTCCTTCTGGGCACTTTGGGCGTCGGTATGTGTGTGTATGTCTCCTGGTCGTGGATGTGTCTCACTGTGTGTTCTAGGCCCATTTGAGCATATACAAGGCTTGTGCTTCGCCCAGATCAGCAGCCGCCCCGGCGCGAGCCACGGCACGTTCGCCTCATCGTTGGAGTTGGGGTCGAGGTCGTACGACAGATCGTACGACCGGTTGCGCGCCTGTTAGGACACCGCCGGGGCTGTGAGCACACGTCGGCTGCGTCTCGGGTGGACGGGTGGCACGAGCGGCCGCTCGCCGCGAGCTGCTCCAGCACGGCCGCGGGCACGGAGAAGGTCCCCGTCCAGCGGCCTCCCGAGAAGCCTCCCGCCGCGACAATCTCGTGCGCGCGGCCAAACCGCTCCCCCGCCCACGCGCCTCTGATCCGGACGGCGGGCGGGCGGCCGTCGAGGGGGGGTAGTGCGTCGAAGCGCACGACCTTGCCGTTGAGCGTCGCGCGCGAGACCGCGCCAGGCCCGTGCGGCGGCAGCAGGACGGTGAGCTCTGCCGCCGCTCCCTGCTCGCCCACCACGCGGTCGAGCGAGAGCGCGCCGTCTGCGGAGAGGGAGGCGGCGCCGGCGGCGGCGCCGAGCACGAGCGGCGCGACCTATTGGGGAGGAGGATTACTCAACCATTCGTCGCAGATTGAAAGCCCTACACGAGCGTGAGCGCAACCAGCGACGCGCCGTCGAACGGCTCGAGCTCGAGGGCGAGGGCGGTGGTGGGCGGCACCGTCAGGGCGAGGGCGTCTCCAGCCCGGAGCAGCTGCCGCGCCCACCCGCCTGCGGGCTCCGGAGGAGGAATTCACGGACAATTAAGTAATGAATAGGATCTGACTAACCCCCCCCCCCCCCCCTCCACCTGCGGGCTCTGAGCGGTCCGAGCTGCCGATCTGGCGCAGCAGCAGCAGCCCCGGGACACCGGAGGAGGGGTGCGGTGGCGAGCAGCCGAGCGACGCATCCAGCGCCAGGGAGAGGTTGAGCGGGGTGGCCGTCGGGCTGAAGGCAAAGATTGCCCCGGTGCAGCTCCCGTCCTGCCGCAGCAGGCTCACCCCGTCGAGGCTGCCGGCCGCCGGGCGGCTGGTTGAGGGGAGCACGCGCGTGGAGGCGACCAAGTCGCGGCTCCGGTCCGCCCACTCCAGCCACTGGCGGAAGAAGGCGACGTCCTCCGCCGGGAAAGCGGCGAACTCGCCCTCGTCGCGCGCGGGCAGCATGTTGAGCACCTGTCGATCACGATTACCAGTCACTAACTAATAATTGACTCGTCGCGCGTAGCATGTCGAGCGCCAAGTTGGCGCCCCCCGTGCCCACCGCAGACAGGAGGGAGTAGCGGTAGCCGAGGAGGTCGAAGTCGCGCCTGCTCACCGGCGACGGCGTCAAGAGACGCCGTTCACACCCACGGCGACAGTCGGGCAAGTCAAAGTCACGCGCCGGCGCGACAGCTCTGCGCACCTCCCCGTCCCACCGCCGCGCGGGCAGCCAGGCCCCGCCGTCACATTCTTCTGCGCCGGCGACACGTCGCGGTCGGTCTGGTGCAGCGCGAAGCCAGGCACGACCTGTGCATGGGGAGTGTGTTGATGCTTTCATCATTGATGAATGGTCAAGAGCGCGAGGCCGGGGCGGCACTTCTGCGGGTGCGAAGCTCTGCACGCGGTACGACCACGCGGTCTCGCGCTGCCTGAGATCAGCCGGGATCAGCCGAGATTAGCCGAGATGATCATCTGACCAGGCGAGCTCCGCCGTCTCGCGCTGCCGGTTCGCGGAGAGGCGGTCCGTCTTGAGGTCCGCCTATCAACAAGTAGCCGCTGTCAAAGTCTTGTTGCTCGAGGCGGTCCGGTCCGACTCGCGGCCCGCCTCGTAAAACATCCACGAGCCCGGCTGCTCGTCGGACTGGAGCGGCTCCGCGTACGTCCCTCCCTCGGCCCACATCCACGGGCCCCAGGCGTGGTTCGCCTGCCGGTTGTCCACGACGCACTGCCTGCCCGCGCACGCCTTCGGCTGCTGCAGCGCCGCAAGGATGGCCCGCCAGCCACTCCACTGCGCGTACTGGCTCCTCCACGGCCTGCCGCCTGGCGATCCCTGCTCGAAGTACGTGTAGTCAAACGAGAAGCCTCCGGCGCCCGTCTGGTCAGCGAAGCGGCGCATCGTCTTCGGCAGCCACTGCTGCAGGGCGGGGGACGCGAGGTCCGACCGCATCGGCCCGAGCCCGAGCCGCTTCGTCGCGAGGTCGGAGGAGGAGTACGTGCCGTGGACGACCCATGGAGGGCTTGCCCCGCCCGGCAGAGTGCCCGCGAGGAAGGCGAGGATCGGGTAGACGTACGCCACCGGCCGCACGCCACGCAGCCTGACGCGACCACCTCTTGTGACCGCCTCTCGTGGCTTACTGGCCGCACGCTACGAAACCTGGAATGCAGTCCGGCGGTCTCAAGTGCGATCTCCCGCTTCTCGGCTAAGCTCGCCGGAAGTAGTCGAGCATCTCGGTGAGCGAGGCCGGCAGCGGGTCGCCCGGAGCCCACAAGCCCATGCGAAGCCGCTCTCCCATCCCGAACCACAGGACCTGCTCACGAATCGATGATCATTCATGGATCGTTACCGCCCCCCCCCTCCCGGAAGACCTGCTCCCAGCCCCAAGCGTCCGTGCCGTTGCCGATGCTCGAGACATCCGAGTTGCCTATCGACAACTCAGGCGTTCTGACACACATTCAGTGCGTTGCCGATGCTCGCGAGATTCGGAGTTGCGAGGCGCGAAGAGGATGCTCTCGATGCCGAGCGACGCGGCGCGGTCGATGATGCGCTTGTACTCGGCGCGGCCTGCTGCCGTCGAGATGTCGATCTGGAAGTCATTCTCGCACCAGCCGACGTTGATCTTGACCGAGCTCGCGCGTTGCGGCGCTGCGATCGCCGCCCGGACGCATCGCTGCATCGCTGCGTGCTCTGCCTCGTCGAGCGGTTGCGCGGGAGGGGCCATTTTCCGTTGCGTGAGCAAGTGAAGGCCGATGTGCGCTCTGTCGGCGGAGAAGGGCGCCGCCGGTGCCACCGGCATCATCGGCTCGTAGCTCAGCGTGACGCCTCCGCCGCCGTGAGGCGTCGCCGTGAGGAAAGGGTTGCGGGCTGTGATCAGCGCGCCGGTGGTAGACCACCGCGCGAAGAGGGCAAAGTCCTTGAGGCCCGCGGGCGAGCGAGCGACTACACTCTCGGCGGGCGCGGCACCGTCGAGAAGCAGCCGAGCACCAGCAAAGAGCGTCACATTTGTCACGTTGTGGGCGTGCCGCGCGCTGGAAACCGTGAGCTGCTTGCTGACGAAAGCGTCCGTGACCGAGTAGGCGACGTGTACCGTGAGGTCGCCCGCCGCGGAATAGCGGTAGGTCGGCTGCCCGTGCGCGTCAAACGTCCTGGTCGGCACCGGAAGGCTCGACGACAGGATGGTGCTAGTGCCGTTGAGGCTCAGCGCAAAGGCGTCGCCCTCGACATCGAGGACAGACGCCGTGGCGAGTAGCACGAGTGACGCGAGCCCACGCTCGTCGAAGGTGGCGTTGAGCAACGCGCCGGCAATGGCACTAGAGGCCATCAGGGGCTCGGCGGGGGCGGGGGCGGGGGCTCTAAGCTAGCCAAGAGAGGTGTTCGGTAGGTAGATGGCTTCCGATCGGCAAAGAGCGTTCTTTTATGAAAAAGCTCCCGGGTGTTTTATGAAAAAGAAAAACTCTGCACTCACCCTCACCTCTCCACCTCTGCCGCGATGCCGGAGCCGGAGCCTGCTGCCGACGAGCCCCCGAGGAAGCGCTCGCGCTGGGACAGCACGCCCGGCGAGGGCGGCGCGGTCGCCAACGGCGCGGCCGCGGCGGCGATGTCGCAGGGCCTCGCCGCCGCCAAGCTGGCGGCGCAGGAGGCGCTGTCCAAGGCGCAGGCGGACGTGCAGACGCAGGCGCTGCGCGCCGCCCAGATGCAGCACGCGGTGCAGGTCGGCCTCTCGAGCCTCGCCGCCAAGCCCGACGCGGCCGCTCCGAAGCCGTCGCTCGTGACGCTCGACGCGAGCGGGCGGCTGATCGATGAGCGGGGCAAGGAGATCAAGGCGGGCGGGGCGGGGTCGAACGCGACGCTGCGCATCAACCAGACCACGAGCGCGCCCAAGAACCCGCTCCTCGAGGGCTCCGCCGCCGTGCCCGACATCGCGTCCAAAGCCGACGGCAGCCGGAACCCGTACTTTGACCCGCGGATGGCGGTGCCAGGGGCGGGGCGGGACGCGAGGAAGAAGCGGGCGCTCAACTTCGTGGCCGAGGGCACCTTCTCGCGCAAGGCGGACGAGATGCGCGCCAAGGTCGCCGTCGAGCAAATGCTTCGCGACTCGCGGACCAAGCAGCCGGGCAGGCGAGAGACGCGTCCGAGACGTCCCTCACGCCAAACACTCACCAACGCGCCTCCCGCCCCTCCCTCCCTCCCCACCCCGCTGACACTGTTTCCCCTCCTCCCTCCTCCCGCCGACACCCCTGCCCCTCCCCCCTCCCCCCCCAGCTCCTCCCCCCTCCCCCCGCTCCCCTCCCCAGGCTAGCCGCACAGCCGCTGCTGCTGCAGAGCGAGGCGCGCCCGTCCGACGGGCTCGCGGCGCCGGTGATGTCCGCCGCCACGCTCAAGCTCGAGCTGCAAAAGGTGCCGCCGAGGGGTGGGACTAGCCCTCACCCTCACCCTCACCCTCACCCTCACCCTCACCCTCACCCTCACCCTCACCCTCACCCTCTCACCTAAAGGTGCCCGCCGTCGAGTGGTGGGACGCGGCGCTGCTGCGGGGCGGCGCGGCGGGCGGCTACGCCGAGGCGGGGGACGCCCCTCGAGGACCGCCCTGGCTAGCTCTGCGTTGACGACGGACCGCCCGCGCCTCCAGGACGGCGTGCTCCTCGAGCACATCACGCACTACGTCGAGCATCCGGTGCCGGTGGATCCGCCTGCCGAGCCGCCGCCGCCGCCGCCGATGCCGCTGCCACTCACCAAGAAGGCGCGGAGGCAGCCGCGCGCGCACACCGCGCATGAGCAGTGAGTGAGTAGTAGCGCATGAGTAGTGAGTGAGGCGCTGCTTGGTTCCGGTTCGCAGGAGAGGAAGAAGCTGCGCACGCAGCGGCGGCTCGCCGCGGAGAAGGAGAAGCAGGACCAGATTCGGTGCGGCTTGATGGCGCCTCCGCCGCCGAAGATCAAGATCTCCAACCTGATGCAAGCGATGAAGAACGAGGCGGTGGCGGACCCGTCCGCCCTCGAGGCCAAGGTGCGCGCCGAGAGGGCGGCGGCCGTGAAGGACTGGTGAGCGCCTCCGCCTGATCGCCCGAGTCCACAACCCCTCGCAGGTGCGCGCCGAGATGGCGCAGCGCGTCAAGAACCACGAGGAGCGGAGCGTGCGCGCGAGCCGACGGCCTGTGGACGGCGCCTCTTCACAGCTCGCCGTGTGAACAGGAGCGCAACCTCGCGCGCAAGCTGACGCCCGCGCAGCGCCGCGAGAAGAAGCGGCGGAAGATGCTCAACGACCCGAGCGGCGGAGGGACGCCGGTGACGCTCTACCGCATCCACACGGTGCCGAACAAGCAGAAGCTGTACAAGATCGACATCAACGCGCAGCAGAACCACCTCACCGGCGTGGCCGCCGCGCAGTCCACAAGCGGCCGCGAGATCCGCCGAGATCCGCGAGGCTCCGCGAGACCGTAGGCTTGATGCTGCTCGCTGACGAGTGCAACCTTGTGGTCGTCGAAGGCGGGGAGATAGGAGGGAGATAGGAGATGTTAGCAACCTGGTGGTCGTCGAAGGCGGAGTCGCTCTTACGCTATTAGCCTCACCTTGGGACCTGACTCACCCTCCGCGGACCCACACCTCCTCGCCGATGTGAAGCGTGCGACGAGCGGAGAGTGCTGCTCCCTCGTGTCGCTAGGCGGACCGAAGGCGCAGCGGCGCTACCGCAAGCTGCTGCTGCACCGCATCGATTGGACCGACTTTGGCGCGGCGGACGACGACGACGACGAGGACGACGAGGAGGAGGCGCGGCGGCGCGCACAGTCGGAGGTGCGCAGGGCCAAGCCTCCTACCCTTCCGAACTGCTCCTCCCTCCTCCTCCGCCCTCCTCCTCCTCCCTCCTCCTCCTCCCACACCTCCCCCCCCCTGCCCGTCTTCGAGGGCCGCTCCTCCCCCCACCTCCGACCCCTTCCCCGCCCCGTCGCCCGCAGGTGTGCCAGGTGGTGTGGGAGGGGCTCGTCGTTAAGCCGCAGTTCAAGAACTTTCGCGTCGAGGCGGCGCGCTCGAGCGAGGGTGCGCGAGATGCGGATCTCGGCTCAATCTCGGCGGATCTCGGCGGATCTCGGCGGATCTCGCCCCCCAGGCGCGCGCAAGATGCTCGCGGAGCGTGGCTGCGCGCACTACTGGGACATGGCGCGCACCAACGGCGCGGAGGGGGTGCCCGAGGAGGACGAGGACGAGGACGAGGACGAGGACGAGGAGGCGGGCTCGTCGGACGAGGGAGAGGGCGAGGGCGAGGAGGAGCGAGGGGCGGGCGCGGCGGGGAGCGGCGCCGCCGAGGGCGACGCGGCGCGCGACGACATGGAGACCGAGGGGTAGCTGCTGGCGCGCGGTGGGTTGCCGATTGCGCAGGGGGATGCCGCGGACCGCAGGAGTCCTGGGCTCCCACTCCCGTCCCTTTTGCTATCCCTCTCTCCCGCGCCGCGTGGTTGTCCCCTTTACTTTGCGTTGCAGCCACGTCGTCACGCACACCGGTGACACTTGGGGAAGCTTATGGTTTAGTGCTTTCATGATGCTGTATGCGCGCGGATCGCGCGACCGCGTCACCGCGCGCGCAGCTCCGCAGGCGACGCAGGTGGGGTGCTGCTCCCCGGATGGCTCAGCGTATATATCCAAAAAAGCCGACGGCTTTTTACCGAAACCGATACCGTCAGCGTGTGCGGTGTGCGCGCCCGCGCGCCGCGGAGCGCGGTGTAAAAGTGTGTGTGTATCTCAGTCTTGCGCCGACGCTCTCGCGCCGGTCCCTACTCGGCTCTCTCACGCCGATGCCGTCTCTTCCCGTCACGGCGTCGGCGAGGGCAGGCCATAAAAGGCGAGGAGGTCGTTGCCGCAAACACATTCGAGCGTCCCCCCCCGTCCGCAGGGCCTCGTCTCACGTATGACTGCAGAGCTGAGGTGCAGAGGCCGACTAGAAGTTTCCCTGCTCAGCCTCAGCTCAGCCGCGACCCCTCCCCTTCCTCCCCTTCTTGCCCTTGCCCTTTCTACCCTTGTCGGCCTCTGGATCGTCGTCAGCAGCGCCGCTCGCCTCGCCACTCTCCGTCGCCGCCCCCGCCAGAGCCTCCGCCGTCTCGTCGCCGCCTTTGGAACCGCCCCGTGATTTCCCGCCCGCCATCGTTGGCGCAGCCTCCTCACTGGTGGATGTAGTGCCATCGGCGGCCTTGATGGGAGGTGCACGTGGGAGTCAGCTAGAGCCCCTCCCCTCTCCCTTCTCTCCCTCTCTTCAACTCACCTTGGCCTTCACTAGCCTGCTCAGCCTTGCCGCCTCGGCTCTCGCCTGGTTTGCCGCTCGCAGGGCCTGCAAACACAATTTTGGGTACGAGAGGGCATGAAAATCGGCTCGACCGCCAATCTCCTCAACCTGTAGGCCCGCCGCAACGTCCTTCTTGACGTCTGCCGCAAGTTGGTCCAGGGCCGCGCCGCCTGACGTGCTGTTGAACAGCTCGAGGCTGCGCAGAAGGCAAAGGGTCGAGTTAGGACACTACGGATAAGAGGCATGCTGCACTGTCGCAAGACTATGTCGCGCCTCCCGCCGAGGCGTCTTAGCTGGTGGAGCATGGCTCTTATCTGCTCCGCTTCCCGTGCCGCATGCCGCTCCCGTATCCGCTCGTGTGTATCAGCCTGATCCACAAGGGTTCTGAGCGAGCGGTTCGAGCTTCCCAGTTTCTCGCCAATACGGCTGATGCGTCGCTCGTGCCGCTGCAGCGTCTCGCCCTGCGTGGACATTGTCGCTGATATGCTCTGCAGCTCGGAATGAAGCACGATGGCGGCGGCGGCGCCAATCGCAGTCAGCAAAACGGTGGCCAACGCCACAGCTTTGACTGACCTGGAGTCTGTTGCGGCGGGCGGCTTCGGATTGAGTCGCGGCTCGATCGGTGGTTGGGTTGGCATGTGTATGGTGCTCTGCCCACGCCCCCCGGCAGTGTCTGCCACGCCGGCAAACTTGGCGGTTTGCGCGGTATCTACAGGTTGGGGTTTCAACGCGTTTGGTCATCCGTGTACGTACTTTTAGCTTACTGGGAGAAAAGAGAGAGGGGGTTGTGTTCTCTAGGCCCCTAGGGGCCCTACGCGCGGCGTGAGAGCTCGGAAGCGAGCTTAGCACGGCGATCGAGGATGGCACGGTTCACCCCCTTCACCGAAGCGATGGAGATGCGTTCCGCGTGGTGTGACACAAATGAGAGGCGGGAGTGGGGAGGGTACGCGGTGCGGTCAACGCCCGAGCGTTGAGCCTTGCGCGCAAGGCGGTTGATCTTTGCAACTGCAGGCGGCGAGAAGCCGCCGCCGAATGTCTCGTGGAGAAGCAGGTTGAACTTGTTTCGTTTGCCGAAGATCCCGTCATGGTAGTGGCCACGCTGCGACTTGACGTAGCCTTGGCCGGTGGTGTGGTCGAACGCACGTTGACCACGGAACCCGCGTTGCTTGCAGCCCATGTTTGCAAGGCGGGCGCGCTCTTCGGTGTTGCCGAAGGCGAACTTGTCTCCAACGGAGCCGGGGTTGCCTCCGGTGTCGGCGCGGCCGACCCCAACGGGCAAGCCACCCCGGAGGGGGGTCCAAAGTTTGACCTCACTGATCTCGTCTTTGCCCCCGGGAGCCGCGCCCGGCTCAGCCAGGTCGGTTTTGTAGCCCTCGTTGAACTGTTTGGTGAGCTCAGGTTTTTCGGCATCTCCCATAACGGGCCGGGAGATGGAGACGGCGGCGACACAATCGTACCAGGCGCGAAGTACGCCGTCGTGTGGGCGCCGCCGGGCGGCGTTGTTGAGGAACCAGTCGCCATGGTAGTCCTTTGCACCACCGACTGTGTCCCCAAGCTCGAGTGCCCGCGTGACAGTCGAGCGGCACTGCGAGAGGTGAAGACCGTTTCGGCGCTGAAGTTCGCCGATGAATATGTCGTCTGGAATGGTTGTGGCGTTGCTGCCGTCAAGTTTGGTGTCGAGCCACCGCCCCGCGTAAGGCTGCGAAGTTGAGACGTAGCGGATGGACTCGCGGTAACGTATCTTGGTGTCGCCGGGCTGCCAGTTGGCTGCTGTGTAGTCGTCAAGGGCGCGCCACTCCTTCTGCAGATCGAACCAGTTCCAGATAGTCTCGATGGCAGCAAGCGCCCGCGCGTACGGGCTTCCTGATTTGCAAGTGCCATCGATGACTGACTCCGGTGTTGGAAGAGACTCAGAAGTGGGGAGGCTGACGCCCTTGGGGTAGAACTCAGAGATTTTGCCGCCGCGCAAGGTGTAGTAGATGTTGTCGTCGCGCGCGGCTCGGATGGAGGCCACCTCGTCTCGCCTCGAGAGCGCGGCTCTGTACGAGTTGACGGCGGCGTCCCGTGCGCCGTACCCGCCGCAGCGCTCGGCTTCGGCGAGGTCTGGGCTGCAGGCCACAAGCTTTGACCAGCATTTGAGGAGGGAGTTGTGGTAGGCTTCGGCCGGGCCGCGTACGCCCGTGCGGCCCTCCCCCGTGTCGTTAAGCTCTCTCTCTCTCCGTGTACGTTCGTCATCGAATGAGTGAGGAGTCTCGACAGACTAGTGTGGACCTGCGGCGGTACCCGTCTCTGTTGTTCGGGCAGTGAGAGACGCAGGATCTGCACGCCAAAGTGGGCCACTCATTTGCATTTTGGTTTTGGGTTGGTCGGAGATCATCCATCAGCACTCATGTCTCATCAGTCAGTCACGTCAGTCAAAGCAGTCGTGGCACGTGGAGCAGTCGCTGCATGCAACGGCGCCGCCACACGCTCCGGACGACCCCGACAACCGACACACCACGCACAATGGGAGGCTATCGCGCACGATCGGGCATCGCGCCGCAAACAACTCGCCGCACAGATGGGGGGGAGGCAGAATCCCACACACACCGGAGCAGCACAGACACCTTACACGTCAGCGCTCGCTCGATGTGGCCGGCGCTCTCCCCTCGGTCCTATCTCGCCTTTTCAACGGCGGCGTGCGGCCACGCGCCGCGCCGAGCCGGTCTCGGCGGGAGACCTCGGAGCCGCACGCGATGCGGGCATGCGCGATGGCTCCGTTGGCTCCGTGCCTAAGGCAGATCGATTAGGGTGTGAGCTGCGGCAGCCACCGTTTCTGTACCCGCTCGATCACGTGCAGGCCGTCGGAGGCCGCGCTGGATGGCCCAGGGCCGGCGGCGGTGAAGGCGTCCGTCGATGAAGGGATGTCGTCGAGGGAGCCATCGTCCTCCGTGGCTGGTGCACCGGTCCAGTTGTCGGAGTTCGAGATCGCCGTCGAATTGGAGAGTGTGTTCGGCCCGTTGACGAACTCACGGAATGTGAGCGACTTGGTGCACGCTGGGTCGAGCATCATGACTCGCACCTCATCCTGGGCGAGGAACTCGCCCAGGGACCAGCTGTTGGCGTCGCCGTTTTGATCGAGCTGCATCCACTGCATGGTTTCGTAGTCAAGCGTAAACGCCCAGGAGTTGGTGCCTGGGTGACTTGCTGATGAGAGCGCCTTCCAGGCGGGTAGTCGTGCCCCTCACCTACGGTCATACGGCGGCGTCAGAGGGGGGGAAGGGGCGCGAAGCGTGAACATGGAGGCAAGCAGGTGGTGGGCTGCACCTGGCCAAAGCCGGCGACCTCGAAGTTGTCGTAGCTTGTGCGGATATCGCTGAGCGTGAGAGGGACCGGATCGGCAACAGCATGGGCGGCCGCGTCAGCGGCCGGAGAGGCCGGAGAGCCATCCGACGGAGGCCGGTCGTGCATCGGCGCGTCAGCCGCAGGGGCCGGGGGGGCGGCGGCATCCATCGCTGCGGGTCGCTGCGGGCCGACGATTGTGGACGGAGGCCGACTGAAGCTGGGACGTTCTACGGTTAAACCAAGAGCGTCGGCGCGGACACGAGAGACTTATAAGGGTAGAAATGTTAGAAAAATACAAACCGCAGTGACGAAATCAATAGCCCCCCCCCCCCCCCCCTCCACACACAGTAACTCCGGCTGCGGCGTCCTCCGGCGTGCCCGCACAGAGCTGCGTGGACGTACAACACCACAGAGCTCCCCTAATCCGTCTCGCGCGTGATCGCGAAGCGCAGCACGCACGCTCTAGCGAAAGCGAGAGAGGGAGTGTGTGAACGCGAGAGGGAGAAAAGAAAGGAGAATGTCAGGAAAAGGTCGCTTCGACACACATAAATGGCTCGAGATATATCTCTTCACTACCTGTTTTGCATCGAACGTGTCTCCCCGCACGGGCCGAAGCACGCTCCACACCAAGCCCATGTCCCGAATCCAGCCTTGGTTTGGCATGGCATTCGCTGCCCGCAAGCGCGCCCGCACCGCCGGCGAGGACGGCGGATCGGAGAACGAGGCTGTGGCGGTCGCGGATGGCTTCGAGGCGCCCCTCTTTGGCGCGCGCGTCGTCGGCCAGGTCACCACGCTGCCGCTCGAGGGCGAGGACGGCCCTCTGGCAGCGCTCGAGGTGAATGGCGTCGTGAGCGATCGCGCAGGCGGCTGGTACGTCACCACTGCTGACTCAGTGCTGCACGTCTCTGCGGCCGGGCGCGTGCGCAGCGTGGCAACCCTGGAAGGCGCCGGCCTCCGCGGCATCGCCATTAGCCCGGACGGCAGCGCGCTGTTTGTGGTAGACATGTTCAACGACAAAATCCGGCGGGTGGAGGTGACGACGTGCGCGGTGACCACGCTTGCGGGCAGCGGCGAGACCGGCAGCGCTGACGACGTGGGCGGCGCGGCGCGGTTCAGTTGCCCATACGACGTCGCCATCAGCCGCGACGGCAGCGCTCTGTTTGTTGCGGACCTTGACAACCACAAGATCCGGCGCGTGGAGGTGGCGACGGGCGCTGTGACGACGGTGGCGGGCAGTACCGTCGGTAGCGCTGATGGCGTGGCCGGCGCAGCGCAGTTCCACAACCCAAGCGGCGTCGCCATCAGCCCGGACGGAAGCGCGCTGTTTGTGGCGGACTACTTCAGCCACAAGATCCGGCGGGTCGAGGTGACGACGTGCGCGGTGACCACGCTTGCGGGCAGTGGCATTAGCGGCGGCGCTGATGGCGTGGGCGGCGCGGCGCAGTTCTACTTCCCATTCGGCGTCGCCATCAGCGCCGACGGCGGCGCGCTGTTTGTTTCGGACTTCGGCAACCAGCAGATCCGGCGGGTGGAGGTGGCGACTGGCGCTGTGACCACGGTCGCTGGCAGCGGCACCGAGGGAAGCGCTGATGGCGTGGGCGGCGCAGCGCAGTTCAAGTACCCAAGCGACATCGCCCTCAGCACCGACGGCAGCGCTATTCTGGTTTGCACAGACGACTCCCTCCGCCAGGTCTGCGTGTCGGCGCCTCCTCCGCCTCCCTCCTTCGCGCCGATTGTGGTGTCGCCCTCGACCCTCGTGGCCGACCTCGCAAAGATGTGGGGCGATGCGACTTTCCCCCAGGGGATGGTCACTTTCCTGGTCGGCGACGACCAGCAGCGCCTCGAGAGCGTCACAAAGGCCATCCTCTGCATTCGGTCGGTATTCTTTCGGACCATGTTCGGCATCGGCATGAAGGAGCGCGACGCCGGCGAGGTCACGGTGCGCAACACCGACCTCGCTACCTTCACCGCCCTCGTCCGCTACCTCTGCACCGACCAGCTCGACCTCGGCGAGGAGGGGGGCGGCAGGGCGCAGCGCGCGCTCGACCTGCGGCAGCTGGCGCAGATGTACCAGGTGCCGCGCCTCGAGCTGCTCTGCGCGCAGGCGCTGCAGGAGAGCGTCGGGCCGGCGAGCGCCGTGCCGCTGCTCGAGGCGGCGCACGCGACGGGCGACGGGCGGCTCCTCGCGCAGTGCCGCCGCTACGTGGCCGACAACGCCGCCGAGGTGCGGGCGAGCGGTGGCGTGGAGCAGCTGCGCGACCTCGGCGTGGCCAAGGGGCTGCTCGGCGACGCGCTCGACCAGGTGGCGGAGCTGAAGGGGACGGTGGCGGCGCGCGACGCGGACCTCGAGAAGGTCCGGGCGGATCTCGCAAGTACGTCAGTTCGCACGCACTCTCTTCACTGCCTGTTTCGCATCGAAAAGTGTACCCCTCGATTGGCCTTTTAGCACAGGTTTCGATCCGGGCCACCGCAAATTTTGATCAGCAAATTTCGAGGGGCGGCCGCAAATTTTGAGGTACATTTTGATTGTCAAAACGCGTCCGTCTTGCCGCAGGATAAAGCAACACCCACACGCGACACCCCACCACTCAACTGGACGCGTTCACTTCCCCAGACACGGCTTCTTACGCCGCGCGGGGGCGGGCGCACAGCCGTCCTCAAAAAGGCCATCGCATTGCGCTCTCCCGCGACCGACCGCGCGCACCTCCCGGCTCTGGCGCCGATCACTTCTAGTGCAGGCGGCCGCCGGATGACGCTGCTCTTTGATGGCGAGCATGAACGGCCTGCGTTCCTGCTCGAAGACCCGTCTCAGGCGCCTAGTTGTCTGGTGCCTAGTTGTCCTCCTTCTTCTTGGCCAGGTTGAGCGCGCGACGGGCCCGCGACGATGCCTTGGCCGGCGCAATGCTCTCATCGCGCGCTGCCCGGTCCACCGAGCCCGGTAGAGGCCACCGGAAACGGGAGACTATACGCGGCACCGCGCTCGTCGTGCCCCGGGGCGTCTTGCTGGGAGAGGAGGCTGGCGCCCTGAGGCGGCATTTGGTGGCGTGGGGAGTGCGGAACGCTACTGGCGGCGTGACAGGGCCTCTCTCGGCTGCGTGTGCCGCCCATCGGCACGCGGGTGCGCAGACACCGCGCGACTCAGCCCGCTCGCTCGACCCTTTTGCCGCGAGAGGGCGCCGGCCGCGTGTAAGAGGTGGCTGGCGCCCTGAGGCGGCATTTGGTGGCGTGGGGAGTGCGGAACGCTACTGGCGGCGTGACAGGGCCTCTCTCGGTTGCGTGTGCCGCCCATCGGCACGCGGGTGCGCAGACACCGCGCGACTCTGCCCGCTCGCTCGACCCTTTTGCCGCGAGAGGGCGCCGGGGCCGCGTGTAAGAGGTGGCTGGCGCCCTGAGCCCTGAGGCGGCATTTGGTGGGGTCAGCGTGCGATGCTGAGTCTTACCTGTCGGCGCTGGGCCAGATCCCAGCGCAGAACTCTGCAACGCTGGCATACAGACACAACAAGACTAACCCCAACCCCAACCAACCTGGTTTGTGGAGCGGTCCCACACAACTTACCCCAGGTCATGCAAATAAAATCTGAGATTTATTCGAGGGTGTCTCTCTCTCTCAGGGTGTATCGTCGATGTCCCAAAAGTCGGTGTGCCCAACGACACGGGTGGGGGCCGCACGGGCGTGCGCGGCCCCGCCGAGGCCTACTACATCTCCCTCCTCAAATGCTGGTCAAAGCTTGTGGCCTGCAGCCCGGACCTCGCCGAAGCCGAGCGCTCCGGCGGGTACGGTGCACGAGACGCCGCCGTCAACGCTTACAGAGCCGCGCTCTCGAGGCGAGACGAGGTGGCCTCCATCCGAGCCGCGCGCGACGACAACATCTACTACACCTTGCGCGGCGGCAAGATCTCTGAGTTCTACCCCAAGGGCGTCAGCCTCCCCACTTCTGCCCCTCACCCTCCGACTCCGCCGCAGGACCGGTCTGGCGACCCGGGACGACCGCCTAGAGCAGCATCATCGACCATCCCGACCCCGTGGGGGCCGGGGCGGGCCAGCCAGGCGTGAGAGCGCCCCTCCCCCCCTCTCGCGGCGCGTCCCCTCCTTCCTCCCCGCACCCCGCCACCCGGCTCGCCGCCCCGTCGCCGTCGCGAGTCAGCCCTCGGCCAGGTACTGCCAAAGGCGGCCGCAAGCAGCGCCATCGCTACCAGCGCCACCGTGCTGGCGCTGGTGAGCTCTGCGGCCCGTGTAGCGGCCCCTTAGCCCGTCGCCCGGGCACATGGCGCCCTCACACCGCTCCTCGCCTCCGTCTCGCAGGCCAAAATCGTCGACATCGCGTCGGCACTCTCGACGGCGCGCCTGGGCTCGGAGAGGGCGGCCTGGGCGGTGCGGGGTGGCTGGGCTGCCCCCCTCCCGCGGTGCGCCAAGCCTCGGGGGTCGGGGAGACCATCTCGGGTCGCTGAGGGGGCGGGTCGGACGCCCGATCCGGCTGCTGGCCGGAGGACGTCGCCGGTTCCGCGATTTTGGGCGCCCCAGTCGCCTCCAGCCGGGCCGAGCGGCGCCAGCTGGTAGCTGGGGCCGCAGGGCGGTCGGGCCGACACCGTGTGCTAGTCGGGGTGGGTTGTCTAGGGGTGTAAAGGTCGGTAGAGTGTCCGTTTGTGGCCTCCGGACGGGCTCTGGCCGGGAGCCCGCCGGGCCGGCTGAGGCTGTGTGTCCGTCCACTGTGGACCCAGTGATGGCCTAGGAGCCCTGCACGGACGGTGTTTATGCTATATAACACCTAGGGACCGCGTGGGGTGGGCGGCGAGCCGCGCATCGGCCGACAATGTGCCGGTGTACGCGTTTCGGTCACACTCAGGGCCCGTTTTGCATGACCTGCCCCCGCTTAGCGAGGCCGGACCAGAGACCTGAGTCATGCGCGCTCGCCCGGTTTTTCGAAGTGAGTTTTCTCCACAATTCCAGAGCACAGACCGCTCGCCCCCGACACACGGCGCAATGCTGAGTAAGTACCTTACCGCGGCGGGCTCCACACACTACTCGGCCGAGACGACCTCTCAAGCTCCATCCTTACTCCTCCACCATGTCGGCGAGCGTCGGGGTGGTGCGGAGATGCTGCGCACCGCGCACCGCAATCGAGACTGCGACGGCGGCGGCGACGGCTGCGCTCGCCGTGGCGAGCCCGTCGAGAGCGAGCGGGCCGAGCGCTGCGGCGTCGGGGCCGACGGCCGCCCCGCGGCTGACAGCGAACCTGAGCACGCCAGCGTCAAGGGGTGTGGGGAGGGGGGAAGGAGGGGGGGGGGGGGGGAGAGTGGTCGGCAGGGACGTGTTTTCAGCCTGCATCTAGGACGGCGAACAAGGCCCAGCCGACCGCAGCTGCTGCCGAGAGCAGCCCGAGGCGGGCATAGGAGTCGGCGAGCGCTGCGGCGGCGAGGAGGGAGAGGACCTGGCGGGGAGCGAAGGAGGCGCGGTGAGAGGCGCGGAGGGCCGTGTGGGGTGCTACCACACTCCCCCACTGCTACCGGAGGAGGGGGTGCGCCACCGCGGCGGCGAAGCAGCGAGCGGCGCCGAGAGAAGCGGATCCCGCCCAAGCGTTGACGTTGACGAGGGCGGCCGCCGTCACCCATCCCGCGTGCCTGCTCGCAATGTCAGACGCGTGAAGAGACGCCCTTCACACTCACAGCTGCCCTCGCCCGGCTGGGCGTGCAGCGATCGCGGAACGGAGACCAGGGCGCCAAGCGGCCCGCGCAGCGCTGGCGCGGCCTGCAGGTGCGAGAGGGGGGCGGCTGTGCGTGGCAGAGCGAGGGAGTGGCTGCCGTCACCTGCACAGCGTAGCAGGCATGGGAGAAGTGTTGTGCCCCTGCGGCCTCCACTCTGCTGTGGTGACGGGCTGCGGATAGGCGGAGGGACTGGCGTGCTGTGCAGTGGCGGAGTGCCAGGTGGCGAGAAGACGGCCCGGCGTCAGCGTCTGCGTGTGCGGAGCGTCAATCTGTTGTGTGTGCCGTCCGCTGCGAGACGACGAGGCACGCGGCGGTAGCCGCGAGGCAGGCCGAGGAGAGCCAGAGCCGAGAGAGCGCCCACGGCCGAAAGGCGGCACACCACAGGGCCTGGGCGCAGTTTGCGCTCAGCCACGCGGGAGCCGCGGGGGCTGCGGCTCGCGCCGCCTCGCGGTTGACGGCGAGCGCGAGGACGCCGGCGGCTTCTCCGAGGTAGATGACGCCCCAGATGGCAAAGGCGAAGCCTGACAGCGGGCCTCCAGGTGTGTCGGGCTGCAACGAGTGAGCGCTGCCGTTGTGATATGGGGCGAGTGCTGCCTGCCGGATTGAAGAGCGTCGGCCAGGGAGACCGGACCAGCACGTCTGCGTCTGAGTCGAATCGGCCGGGGAGAGCAACGCTGACGACGCTGACGATCAGCCCGCCGATCTGTAGCCCGAGCCCGCCCTTGCCGGGAGCCGGAGTGTTGCGGAGAGCAGCTGTGACGCAAGCAGCAGCGCCACAGAAAATCAGCGCGGCGGCGAACCCAGAGGCGACAGGCGGCGGCGGAGGAGGCGGTGTGGGCGGAGGGCGGGCGAAGAAGCGCATGAATTGACGCTCTCAGAGCCGGTGGAATCGGGAGAAGCTGGCGAAAATTTGAGCAGGTGCGAGCGCAGTGGCGGAGGTGTTAAAAAGAATTTTCGCCCGCATCGCGACACGGTCACACGCGGACGCTCCAGCCTCTCAGCTCACCACCTCGCCTTCTCTGTCGCTCTCCTGGCCCAGGCCCATCAGTAGCACGTCTGAGCCGTCCCAGACCGCACTTACCTTGGGTCTGCAAGCTCACACCGGCTCGTGATGCCACGGAGAGGGCTCGAGATTGTCTTCGGCGGACCCCATCCGAGGCGATTGCGAGGGCATTCCGGAGGTCATTATCGGCGCCACCGACCGTGAAATGTCTCGTACCGCAGCCCTCATGCACCAGGCGCATGGATGCAGTCATAATATGTAGGCCTTGTCTCCCGAAGTTTTGAGCAATAGCCGCAAAAGGTGCTTTTCGGCAGTTCATCGCGACACGTCCAGGTGCCGACGAAGCGGCTTCCCAGCTCACCACCTCGCCTTTTCTGTCGCTCTCCTGGCCCAGGCCCATCGGTATCAAGTCTGAGCTCTCCCAAACCGTCCTTATTTTGGGTGATGAAGCCCACTCTGGCTCATACAACGGAGAGAGAGCAACGGAGAGAGAGTAAGTACAACGGAGAGAGAGAGACAACGGCTCTTACGGCCTCATACACGCCCGTTTCACCCACAGACACGCCGGCACGCACTCCCACTTCACACATGCTCAAGCACAACCCCACCAAAGCACAGCCCTGCTCAGAGTAGTCGTGAACCACCCTTTGGCAGCCGTGGAAGCCCCACAGCCGCTGCTTCTCTCGGCTCCTCTCAATGCGTGTCGTGCACCACCCCACGAAAGCCCACCGAAAGAGCACTGGTGCTCTCCGCATGCGCCACCGATGTGATTGTGCAACGTCAGCCACCTCGCCGGAGGTAGTTGCGACTGGGGACACCGGAAGCTCGACGCTCGAGCACGTGTGGCAAAGTTTTGCGACATCCTGCGACTCGACCCCCGAGGGCTGCCGGCCGCCGACAGCAATACCGAGACCGGATTGCGCAGCGAGTTCGGTCCGAATGAGCCCAGGGCCAGCCCGTGGACCGGTACGGACGGCAGGTACCCACGGGACCGCTGCGGCGGGACTGGGAGGCGCCACGAGTCCCAAAATCGAGCACGGTCGGCGCGCGTCCCCAAGCTGGAAATAGGCCTTTAATGACTGCACTCCAAGAGTGCTCGCCAAGTGCGCAAGTCGAGTGTGACTCACACAGTGTGCAGAGCCGGCTACTAGATAGTGCTCCAAGTACGGCTTTACCAAGAGAGTGCAGCCAGGAGGGCAGTGGAGTGGCAAAAGGACCAGCGAAGCAGGATGACGGAGGGGCTTTTTCCATATCCGTCATTGAGCGCCCACTTACTTCCTCGCCGTCCCTCCCTTGCGTTGTTTGTTTTCTTTCTTTTTACTTTAACCAAGATTCCCAGCGCGGACCACGCTTGCGTGTGGATAATACCTCGCTGGAAGCTGTGGCAGAACGCTAAACATGCATGCGTTTCCCCCCAGGCGCCAAGGCCCGGGAGCCTCTCGTCCGATGAGCGATTGGTGCAGCCTCCTCTGCGCGTTTCAGTCCTCGACGCGCCTCTGCGCTTCGCCAAGCGCCGTCCGCAGCGCGGCGCCCTCCTCCGCCAGCGCCGCCAGCCTGCCGCACACCGCCTTTCGCCGCGCGCGCGCTTCGCCCCTCTCCGCCTCGTCGAGCCCTTCCAGCCCGTCGAGTCCATCCACCTCCACCTGCGGTGGAACAGGACTCCGTCCATTACTAGACAGCCGGGCATGCGCGCGCGACCGCCTCGACCTGCAGCGCGGCCAGCGAGGCGAGCGCGGAGGAGGCCTTGCGGTGGACGCACTCCACCGCGTCCGCCGCCTAGCGACGCACCAGCTGGACTCTCACTGGCGGCTCTGCGGGTGCACGCCGCACGGCACACCCGGCCGCCGCCTCGACGTCGTCCAAGTCGACCCGGGCGAGGGAGGAGGACAGACCTCCGAGCGCCACGCCTGCAGAGTCGGTCCTCCGCTCCAGTGCGAGCAGCCGCTCCCCGACCGGCACAGCGTCGCCCGCCTCGGCGCTGCTTGGGCTGCAATCGGGCGCGGCGGCGGGCGGGCCAGCATCGCCGCTGCCGATCAGAGAGAGGTTGGCCCGCTTGAGGTTGACCAGCTGGCCGCCCTCCCCGCGCAGCTGGTACCGCTGCTTCTCCTCCAACCACGATACCACCTCGCCCCGCGTCCCGTTGAGCGCGCGGCCCGCCTCGGAGGCGAGTCCTTGCACCAGCACAAGGCTCCCGGGCGGCAGCGGCTCGCAGGCCACGTCGGCGTCACCGCCGCCGCCGGCCGCCTCGCGCGCGAGCCTCGCCGCCCGGCGCTGCTCCTTGATCCGCTCGAGGTCCGTCTTCCCGTCCAGCTCGACGTAGCCTCCCTCCGGAGGCCGCGGCGGCTCCCGCGCCGACGAATCGGCGCCACCACCGTCAAACGGGCCGCCGAATGGGCCGCCGAATGGGCCGTCGGGCAGCGTCTGCGAGAGGCCCTGCGGAGGGGCGGCCGCCGCGGGAGGCGGCTTGAGCTCGACGTCCACGTCGACCGCCTCTCGCGCCAGAAGCACGATGCCGCTGCCGAGGCCGTGGTCGCCGAGCGGGACGCCATCCACCTCAACGCTCGCCACGTCCGCCGGTGTCGGCAGCCGCCCCGCGTACAGGCCCGCCTTCTTCGAGTAGGCCTTGAGGAAGGGCGCAAGCACCGTGTCCACAAAGGGCCGCTTGAGCATCTTGCTAGTGAGCGTGAGCTTGAGCGTGACGTCGCCGCAGCTCACGAGGCAGGTGCGTGATCGCTCCTCCATGATGGTTGGGCGTGTTGCAGGTGTGGGTTCGGATAGTAGGGGGAGGGCTCCCAGGGCTTCGAGGTTTTTCAGTTGCAACCATCGTGATAGGCAAGGCGTTCAGGGTGATAGTGATAGACGGTGCGCGGCTGGCAAGTACGAAGTAGTGAGTGAGAGAGGTGTACACGGCCGTGAGCTGTGCGTACGGGTAACAAACCATCAATACATGGTCGGTGCGTGTCGTGATCCCCTGGAACACCCGTACTCTCCCGCGCCATCTCCGTCGCCCTCTTCGGCTGCGGCCTTACCACCAAGATCGGGAGGCGGCCAGGGCTCATAGACTCGGTCGAGAGACCCCAGATTGGCATCCATGCCTCTCTGGACAGGGTGGCCCGCCACAACGACCCCTGGAATTGCGACTCGCCGCTTTCCTCCCGCTGTGATTCTGTGTGAGCTCTGTGTCTTGATTTGCCAACAATATACATAATACATGAATCAATACTTCCTGTATCGCACAAACCATCAATACTTCCTGTATCGCACAAAGTACAAAGACTCTACGACCCCCAGTATTCTGATAAACACAAGATGCATGCTCGGGGCTCTACTGGGATCTCTTCTCGACGTTCTTCGCTATCCGAATCCGAATCATCCGCGTCATACGCCTCGCCTCTTCGCTCCCCGATTCGCTGTCCGCATTTGCATGCAGTGCGCGGCAAGAGTGGCTTGAGGGGCTCTCCCCCACGGCTCACAATCTCTCGCAAGCTACTCGACATCGGGAACCGCATGTGCGGGTTGGGACACGAGGGTAGTGAGGATAGCATGCGCCAGCCAGGCGCCGCCTCATCCTCAAAGCACTGATGCGTCATGAGACGTCGCGGTGCCGTCACGGCACGGCCCACCACGAAAGCCGCGCCAGGAATGTCTTCGCCGCCGGGAAGTGCACCGTCTACGAAAGCCATCCTCATGCCCTCTTCACGCATCGCCTCCGCCTCCGCCCTTGTCGATGCCGGTCGCGCCCCCTCTAGTCGTCCCTGTCGGACATAGCTGATCGACGTGCGGGGGCTGTCCCGGCCGTCTGACCAGAGAGCGTGCACCTGCTCGCACACGCGAGCCTCCCAAAGGAAGCTGCCATCAGGCGGGTTGTCGAGCATGTGCATGTACAGTAGGACGATTCGGTCCCGGTCGTGCCACCAGCAGCTGTGCGGCCACGCCAGAGGCGCGAGCTCCGCAGCTGTCGGCCTCCGACCGTTGGAGTCGAGATCGAACAGCACATCCTCACGATGGCACGGGAGGTACTCCTCATCGTAGTCGGAAGCGTCGTCATCGCACCACTCCCCTAACCACGGGTACAGCATGCCGTCCACACCGGCCTGCTCCGCGAGCATGGCAACCTCCTCGAACCATGCTTCCTGCTGCGCCCGGCGGGTGGGGTTTGGCGACCAGAAAGGAAGACTGTCCTTGTACTTGCTCCAGCCTCCCGCCACCGCCGCCGCCAGCTGGCGTCGCGTTGGGCGGCGAGCCTGCGTGTGCGGGGGGGTAGGGGGGGCGCGTGGGCGTGGAGGGCGGCGGCGAGGCGGCGCCGCGTGGGAGGGAGCGAGTACCGCCGCTTCCGCCTTGGTCGCCTCCGCCTCCATTGCCTCGGCCGCCGCCTCCGCCTCCCTCAACTCGCGGATCAATGCCTCCCTCGAAGAAGCGGCTGAGCCCATCACCCTCAGCACCCTGCTCTCCTCCCTCAACTCCGGCGCCGCCTCCGCCTGGGCTGCCTCCAGCGCGACCAGCAACGGCTTCTTCACCTCCCAAGGGAGGCGCAACACCTTGTACCTCGCCTGCGCCTCCCTCTCCTCGGCTGCCGCCCGCTGACTCCTCTGCGCGAGCACCTCCTCGAGGATCCGCAGCGGCGCCACCGCCTCTGCCAACGGCACCACCTCCGCCGCCTCCTTCTCCGCAGCTGCCCGCGCCTGCACGTATGCCGCTCGGTACGCCGACTCGTAGTCCTCCAGATGCCTGAAGTCCCGAAGAAGCGGCTGCTCTTCCCGCCAGTCCACCTCCCTCAACGCCTCGACGACCGCCAGGGCATACTCGCAGCGAGGGTCGCTGTACCCGTAGTTGTTCCGCCGCCAGCAAGGGTCGCGCGCAACCATCTCGTCGTCAGACTCCCGCGCAAGGAACCAGCTGTTCGGATAGCTGACCTTTATTGCCGCCCGTGGAGCTCTTCCTGGGCTGCCATCCAGTCTGGTACCAGTGATGCTGCACCAGCGGCTGTTTGTTATCGTGCCGATGCGGATGCTCCTCCCGCCCAGCCTGGCTGCCTCGTACCCGGCTTTCAACGCCCTCGCCGCCTCCGCCTCCGCCTCCGCCGCCAGGTACGCCGCCCGCGCCGCCTCCTTCGCCTCCCACTCCACCGGATCGCCAAAACCACATGCTCGGATAGCCTCGTAAGCGCACTCGCTCCGGTACTCAGCGGCCCTCGTCGCCAAAACCACGGCCAAGAAGTACTCCACCTCGGCGTGCGGCCCGCCGAACAGCTCGACGCCGTCAGGCAAACCCTCGACCGCCTCCGCTGCCAGCGCCGCCCGCATCGCCGCCTCCGCCTCGGCCACAAGCTCCGCCGCCCCCCTCGTCTGCTTCACCCTCTGCTTCACCCCGCCGTAGCCACCCAGCGGTAGCCCCGCCTCCGTGAAGCGCTCGTCCAACAGGACCACTCCGTCCTGAGGTAGCCTCGAGAAGCGCTCGTCACGAACCCTGCTCATCGCTGCCTCCTCCGCCTCCCGAGCTTCGCTCGCGGCCCTATCACTCTCTCGATTGAGCACCAGCGTCACCGCCTTCACCGCCAACTTCTCCGCCCGCACCCGCGCCACCTCCGCCGCCGCCTCCTCCGCCGCCGCCCGCGCCGCCTGCGCCGCGCCAGCGCCCGCCTCCGCCTCGGCCTCCGCCTCGGCCTCCCTCTCCGGCGCGGCCGCCATGTTCATTTGGATGCGGTACAGTGCGCGCTGCCGCTTTGAGGCACTGGCCGTTGGCAGCTCGCCCGCCACCGAGGCCGCCAATGCCGCGGCCGCCGCTCGGCAGTCTCGGCAGCGCCACCGCCCCCCTGCCGCTGATCCCGTCTCAGGCTCGCAGCGGAAGCAAACGTCGATGTCGTCGCCAGCGGCGAGCCGCCCGAAGCAGACGTCGCACGTGCCTCGCGTCGGCGCCTCCATGCTGGTGACAGCGTGGCCGCATTCGCGGCAGCACGGCTCCTTGCTCGGCGCGCCGCCGTCGCATCGCCGCAGCTGCGCCGCCGCCGCCGCCTCCTTCTCTTCGCGAAGGACTTGCGGTAATCGCCGCAGGGGCTCGGCAGGTGGCGCGCGCGCCGCCTCGGCTGAGCCCGCCGCGCACGCTTCGGGCGTCTCCCGCCGCGCCTGATTCGGAGGGCAAGTGCGGCGGTGGCGAGGGTGAGCGCAGGGCGGCGCCGGGTTGGGTGGAGTGTCGGCGAGCGGCGACGCGCGGGGAAGCAGGCAGGAGCTCGGCACCGGCGTCGGGCGCTTCGCCGCCGGTGCCGCCGGATCGGCGTCGCTTGCCGAGAGCCTCCGCTTGACCGCAACCTTGTCCGCCTCGCGCCGCCGCTGGCCGACCTTGTACGCCGCCATCTCCTCCTCGTAGACGGCCATCTTCGCCTTGTAGTTGGCGACGCGCATCGTGTTCAAGGCGACGTCCTTCACCTTCTTCGGCTCCCTCGGCTTCTTCGGTAGTGGCGCCTTCGACGGCGAGGCCTTGGGCATGGCCCGCCCGTGTCGACAGAATTTGCGCAGCCCCCCCGGAATATCTTGTGTGAGGGCTTCCGAGGTGAACCTCGAAGAATTTTTTGCGGAGGATGGTATGGTGCGCATGACCCACCACACCCCCGCCGCCTGCTGACAGACCCAGCCTCCCGGAGACCGGGGATGGCGGTCAGGACCATACCCCCCCACCCTTTGGGCCGTGAGCCTACCATACCATACCTTAGGCTGAACAAGCTATTCCTCTCGCACCCCGTCTCTTTTCCTTTCCTTTTTTCTCTACAGCACCCTCTCTTTTCCTCTCTATTTTCCCGGGAAAACTCCGGGGAAACCATCAAATTTTCCGGGCTCTGAGCCGAGTCTGAGGCTGGTTTGGGCCCAAAATCAGCCAAATCGGCAAAATACCGGGTATTTTGCGGGTATACCTGGAAACTCCCGGGTATACCTGGAAAATACCCTGCGACCGCCTGGGTATCGTGCCGATTTCCTCAATTTTGCGTCAGATTTTGCCCCAGACCAGCTCTCAGACTCAGGGAAACTCGCGAGTTTCCAGAATGGAGCACCAAACACCCTCTGTTTTCCCTGGAAATTTCCGGAAACGCAAAGTGCTGGGGACCCTCTGTTTTCCTTTTTGTTTGCCGGAAAAGCTTGTGCAGGCCAAACCATACCCCGCAAAAAGTTGGAACCCAGGGGAAAGGCAACGGCTTGAATTAGTTTTTTTCAGCCTGTTTGAACGCTGCGGCTGTGCAGCTGCGGCCGCATACGACTGAGCCGCAGGCGCGGCGGCTGGCTGAGCGGCTGGTGCGGCGGCTGGCGCGGCGGTGGCGCACGTGCCCGCGCGCTCGCGCTCTGCGCGCTCCAGCTCCCGCGTGTACTCGGACTTCTCAGGCTGATCTGCCTGTCGAGACATAGCATCGTGCGAGTAAGCCGCAGGTGTTTTTCTGCGATATTCTCCCAGGTGTGTATTCTTTTTGCTTGGGGCGGACAGCATGCCGGGGTAGGTAGGGTAGGTCTGGGCGCTCCCGTCGGGTTTTTCCCTCTCTTCAAGCTGGAATTTTCACAGCAAAAAAAGAAATTTTCGGCGAAAATCACGATGTCAACCCTCCCCAAGTGGGTGATCTGGTGCTTGTAGGGCTTGATAGTGGCCTGCCATGTCACAGGAAGGACTGTGATTGCAGGAGAGTACCACCAGCCATCACTTTAGTTGGTATAGTACTCCACCTTCACCCATACCGTGATTTCTTTTTTAGTTTCCCATAAGTAGGGTAGGTAGGTAGGTAGGTAGGTAGGTAGGGGCACCGCAGGGGCCGGTCAGGTTTTTCCAGAATTTCAGCATGCTGTCCGCCCCAAGCAAAAAGAATCTTACAACAAAACTCCCTCGCACAACACGGGGCACGGGACTGGCGCGCACTGGCACTAACACAAAAAGAATACACACCCATTCTCCCTCCATTTTGCCGCCGCCAAAAGACCGCAACGAAAAACCGCTGCGGGCCATCACCAGGCCATCACAGTCGCCCGACATGGAAGGCGTCCTCGAGGAGATTGACGCCATGCTGGGCGAGCAGCAGTCGGTTTCGGCGCGGTGGTACGCCCGCCGCGCCGACCTGCCCGTCGACGAGGCGCGCGCGCTGCTCAAGAGCTACTTGAGCGCGCGCGCTGGCAGCGCGAGCGGCGTCTTTCTGGTCTCCGGCGAGGCCGCCTCGGGCGGGCGTGTCGTGCGACTGGCGGAGGCGGACGAGCTCGAGCGGACGCGCGCCGGCTTCGCCTCCGTCACCACGGAGCAGCTCTACTCGGTGCACGCGCCGGCGCTCGCGTCCGACGCCTCCCGCAAGTACGAGCCGCTCGCGTCGCTCGCCGCGGCGCAGGACGCGCAGCTGTACGAGGAGGTGCGCCAGCATGCCTCACCTCGCCCCCGGCGCGGAGCCGTGCCCGCTGGAAGCCGCGCCACTCAGCCCCGCGCCGCCCCCGCGCGCCCTCCTCCCGCAGCTCCAGGCGAGCGGCGAGACCAATTGCCTGCTCGACAACCGCTGGGCGGCGATCCGGTGCGCGAGAATGGAGATTGGGCGGGGGCACGCTCGCGCAGCGCACACCAGGGAGAGGGGGCCCGTGTGCGCGGGTCCAGCACGCGCACGCGACAAGACAGCCGACTCGACCGCGACTCGACACGATCCCAAAGGCCTGCTCACTAACCGCCCGGGCCCCGGCAAACGGCTGCGAACCCAGGTGCGAGGGGGCGACGATATCGTCGCGGGGCGCGGTCGGACGGCTGCGCGCAGTCGCCCCTCCGCCCGCGAGCGCGGCGCCCAAGCCGCGCCCCGCCGCCAAGCCGGCCTCCGCCCCGCCGCCGCCAAAGATCCCAAAGGCTGCGGCGGCCATGTTTGCCGCAAAGCCGCCCTCCAAGCCGAAGGCCGCGCCGGCGGACAAGCCTTCTGAGTCGGCCCCCGCCCCGGCGGCGGCGGAGGCGGAGCCGCCCTCGCAGGGCGGCAAGAAGCGGCGCGCCGTCCCCCGCCAGCGCCGACCCTGCCACACTCCATGACGTCCAGCTGACGTGTCGCCCAGGCGCGCCGTCGTCGACAGCGACGAGGAGGAGGAGGAGGAGAGGCCAGCCAAGGCGCAGGCGCCGGCGGCCGCCGCCAAGCCCGCCGCCGCACCCGCGCCCGCAGCGCCCGCCGCCGCCGCTTCAGCGCCCGCCGCCGCCAAGCCGAAGCCAAAGGGCGGCATGGCGGGCTTCTTCAAGCCCGCCGCGCCGCCGGCTGCGGCGAAGAAGGGGGAGGAGGCGAAGAAGGGGGAGGGCAAGAAGGTGGGCGGCTGCTCGCGAGGCGAGGCGAGGCCCTCCACTGCCGAGAAGATGGATAAGGCGGAGGAGTCTGCGCCAGAGGAGCAGGCGGGGCAGCAGGCAGCGACAGGGCAGCAGGCAGCGACAGGGCAGCAGGCAGCGACAGGGCAGCAGGCAGCGACAGGGCAGCAGGCAGCGACGGGCGGCGGCGCGGGCGGTGTGGGCGGCGCTTCCTCCTCGGAGGACGGCTCGGAGGACGGCCCGCCGTCGAGTGCCGCCGGGGAGGCGGAGGGGGCGGGGAAGGGTGCGGAGGAGAAGGCGTCTCTGCTGCGCGAGGAGCTCGGAGGGATGAAGCCGTCGGCGCTCAAGAAGCGCGCCAAGGAGGCTGGCGTGGAGGAGAGCAAGCTCGACGAGGCGGACGACGCGGACGACGTCAAGGCGAAACTCCTCGAGGCCCCTCGAGCCCGCGGCTTTCTTTGTATGACTGGCAGAACTTGCCTTCGTTAGGCGACGCTCATCGACCTCATCGTCGACAAGGTGTGCCGCGAGCGGCGGGAGGAGGCGGCGGAGGAGGCGGAGGAGGAAACGGAGGAGGAGGTGGCAGAGGCTGCGGCGCGGCGCAAGGAGGAGCGGCGCAAGGCGCAGATGAGCCGGAATACGCCGAGATGAGCCGAGATACGCCGAGCCCCCGGGAGATGAGAGAGGAAGGAGGGGCGACGCAAGGCGCGCGGCCCTGTCGAGACACGCCGCAGCGCTGCACGCGTCCCGGACACGTCCCCGACACACGCCCCCGACACAGGTCCCTGACCCCCCCCCCCCCCCCTCCCCCCCCTCCCCCGCCCTTTAGGCTCGCATCCTCGAGGACGCAGCTTCGCTTGTGGACGATCCGGCCGAGCTGGTGGCACCAGCCGCCCGCCGAGGCCCCCGCTGGACAGCGTCTCTTCACACGCCTAGCTGTGAACAGGTGCACCCGCACCCGCCCGCCGAGGGCGCGAAGACGCCGCCGCCGGTCGCGGCTGCCGAGGAGGAGGCTGCGCCGACCCGCACCCGCACCGTGACCGTCAAGGAGCGCGTGCGTGAGGAGGTTGCCTGCACCCCTGCCCCTGCCCCAACCCCTGACCCATCCCTCACCCCCCCCACCCTCACCCCCCACCCTCACCCTCACCCCCACCCCCACCTCACCCTCACCCCCACCTCACCCTCACCCCCACCTCACCCTCACCCCCACCTCACCCTCACCCCCACCTCACCCTCACCCCCACCTCACCCTCACCCCCACCTCACCCTCACCCCCACCTCACCCTCACCCCCACCTCACCCTCACCCCCACCCTCACCCTCACCCTCACCCCCACCTCACCCCCACCTCACCCTCACCCCCACCTCACCCTCACCCCCACCTCACCCTCACCCTCACCCTCACCCCCACCTCACCCTCACCCTCACCCTCACCCCCACCTCACCCCCACCCCGGCCCTGACCCCAACCTCCGCCCCAGGTGACCTACATGGACGAGCGCGGCTACATGGTCTGCGAGGAGAAGTGGGTCGAGCGCGAGGTCGAGAAGCAGGCGCCTCAGGCAGCGTAGTCCACCTGAAGCAGCTCTGTCTCCCGCCCCTCCGCCCCTCTCCCTCTCCCACCCCCTCTCCCTCTCCCTCACCCTCACCCTCTCCCTCACCCTCTCCCTCACCCTCTCCCTCTCCCTCACCCTCTCCCTCACCCTCACCCTCACCCTCACCCTCACCCTCACCCTCTTCCTCTCCCTCACCCTCACCCTCACCCTCACCCTCTCCCTCACCCTCTCCCTCTCCCTCACCCTCACCCACGGGAGCCGCCAGCGCAGGTGGCGGAGGAGCAGCTGCGGCCTGCGGCACCGCGCATGCTGGGAGGCGCAAAGGCGGGCGGCAAGCCCGCGGCGGCGGCACCCAAGCAGAAGAAGCGCGCGGCGGCGCCGGCAGACGGCGCCTGCTGTGTCTCCTGGCTGCGGTGGCTGCGCACAGCGTCTCTTCACGCCTCCGGCTGCGAGCAGGCGGCGATTCGGACTCGGAGGAGGCGGCGCCGAAGAAGGGGAAGAAGGGCGGCGGCGGCGCCAAGGCCCTCGCCGGCTTCGCTGGCGGCGTGGCGGTGAGGCGCCTCTTCACACCCGCGTGTGGCTGATTAGGCCAAGCCGGCCTCGGCGGGGATGCGCTCGATCGGCTCCTTCTTTGGAAAGAAGTGAGCGGCCTAGACGCCCCTGCGCCCGCTCACAACCTTCCCCCCGCGGAGGCGGCCCAGCACAGCGCACAGCCGGAGCTCCTCCTTCAAGGGGGCGGCGTGCAGCAACGGCTTTATGCTGCAGGGTCGGGTCGTATATCGTCTCAATAGTTTGCGCTGTCCTCGGCCCTGTGTAGAGCGACCCGGCGGAGAGAAAACCTCGATAAACATATGTGTCAATGTGAAAACTATTTATGCATGTTCATTTTCGTTTTTGTTCTCTCCACTCCTCTCACAATGGGGGTGTTTCTGTTTGGGTGATGGGTGTGTTTGCCACGGCGCGAGATCTGTGCGAGATGGCATGTTGTGCGAGTATATGGGACAAAAGCGTCGAAAATGTCCCAAAAAGCGTGTCTGGAGTTTGTTGCAGCTCCGCAGCCTGCGCGCGCTGCCGGGACGCACCGCTTGCTGGATACACGCACTCCCTGGGTCCCAGGGAGTGCGTGTATCCAACTGGAGTGAGTAGGCTCGACGCCGTTCTCGAGATGGAGCTGCAGAAAGTACGCCGCCGAGCGTGACACCGAAGGCGTCCCGGCGGCGGTGATGGAGTGTGAGACCTGAGGCTGCGGAGGTGACGCCTGAGGTACCGGCCCGTGCACAGCGACTCAGCCGGCGACCGCCACGGGCTCAGACGAGACTTGTCGACTCGTTCCGGCTCAGCTTCACCGTGGTCATCGGGCGTCTGTCGACGTCAGGACCACCCATACAGCTCGCGGGTTTGAGGTCGCAAGAGCCAAGATGGTGGCGTTGGGACATCCCAACCATCACACAAGACAGCCTGTAGGTGATGGCGGGACGGCGCAGTGTTTGTGGCACTCGGCAGTAGGCACCTGCGGCACGGCCCCGCTGTCGGCTCTCACGGGCTGCGGAACCGGCCCCAGAGGGAGCCGGTCCGGGCGAGTGTGGCAGCTCCTGCGCTAGTATGGGCACCCTCTATCATAGCACTACTGATCCTGGTCATTAGAGCTGCCAGGGATAGCGTCAGGAGCCGGTAGGAGTCAAAACCTCTCATATTTGAGACATCGTGTCCCATATACTCGCACAACGAGCCAGATAAGCCGCAAGGGACGAATCCGATCGCCCCCCGCCCGCGCCGCCTCGCGCGCGGCGCGCACTCTGCACGACAGCACAAGCCACACTCTATAGTGTGCTGCACACAGGCCGAGACACGCGACAGGGGGGCACTTGTGTCATTCAGTGCGGTGGTCGGACAGACGAACGAGGGAGTGTGGTGTGTGCGCTGGTCACGGTGTGTGTGTGTATGCGCGCGCGCCGCATAAGGCATACGCGGGCGGGGGGGAGAAGACGAGAAGTTTCTCCCCTCGAGACCTGCATATACGCCGACTACAAGTTTCTCCGAGACCTCGCGAGCGGGCGGGGTTATTTTCACACCTCGGCAGTGTGGTGTTTGGGCCGGGCAGGGCAGTGTGGGTTTCACACCCGGGGCAGGTAGGGGATCGGGCAGGGCAGTTGTGCGGCAGTGTGCGGGAGCAGGGCAGTACGGCAGGGCAGAGGGCAGGGCAGGGCAGGGCAGTGTGTATATACCGCCCCTATTATATATCTACCCCTTTTCTTGCGCGTGAGAGAGAGCTATTTTGTATTTCGCCGGACGTGCCCCGACACACCGCGGCGCGCGCAAGCGAGTCGCAAGAGACGAGGTAGAGACGGTAATGGCATCACTAAACATTATGGTTCAGCACCACACACCCTACATTTGCTTCACCTCTGCAGCCACGTACGAGAAGCCGCCTCGGGCGGAGGCGCTCGGATCCGACGCCGCCCCCTTGTTGCCGCCAAAGCACACGTAGGCGAGGCCAAGACCGAGCGCAATATCCACCGTGTTGGCGAGCAGGTAGAGCTTCACGATGGCCCCGCCGCCGCTGGTGACCCCCTTGAACAGCTTGCTGCAGGAGGTGGTGATGCCGATGTTGATGAAGGCGATGCACATCCACCACGTGCTCAGGCTCGAGCAGGCGCGCGGTATGGCCACCCCAGCGGCGGTGCCCGCGAGAGGGCTTTCCAGCAGCGTCACGATCAGCGACAGCAGCAGGAACCCCAAGACGAATTTGGGAAATTTTTGCCATAGCATGCCTAGGCCGGCGCGGGCCGGCGTCGCGGACTGGCGGCTCGCGCGCTTGGCGTCCTCCAGCGACCAAAAGATTGCGATGCCGAGGCAGATGAAGCCGAGGCCGGCGTTCAGGATCATCTTCACCACGCCGCCCACCTCGGTTGCCTCGTCGCTCACGATCGCAGCCGAGACGAGGACGTTGCCGGTCTGGTCAACCGACGCGCCAATCCACGCGCCGGCGACAGCGTCATCCATGTCCGCCCAGATTGCGAAATACGGCTGTAGGAGCTGGAAGGCTAACGTGAATAGGACGACGATGGAGATGCAGAGCGTGAGCTCGTCGCCGGTGGCGCCGACGATGGGCTGCACCGCCGCCATGCCCGACGCGCCACACCAGGCGGCGCCAACGGAGAGTAGCATGACCTGAGCGCGATTGTCCATCCCCAGCAGCCGTGTGCCAATGAACCAGCCCGCCATCACGGCGAGCGGAGAGCCTACCCAGCCAACGATAATGCCAGGGAGGCCGATGGACCAGATGACGCCGTAGGACTTCGCGTAAAGCACCAGCGCGATCTTGATCATAAACTCTCCGTCCTTCGCCACCGGCAGCAGCCACTTATCAGCCGCCGCGCTGAGCGACGGCGACAGCTCGGCAACATTGCCAAGGAACATGCCAATGAATATGGCGTAGATGGCGTAAGACACCCCAAAAGATGAGAGCTTCGTGTACCGCCCAAGCCAGAGGCACCCGGTGCCCAACAGGGACACCACGATGAAGCCAATGAGGTACCTAATCGGTGCCGTCTTTCCAAGCTTCCCCGTCAGGCGCAGGTAGACCCAGTAGGTCGCGCCCATCAGTGCGAGGAGCGGCCAGGTCAAGGTGGCGTTGTATTGATCCCACGAAGCAAAAGGATCCGAGGCCCAGTCCATGGGCTGAGGCAGCAAATATTTGACGCGCACCGGGTCGGCTTCAGTCTCAGGACCTGGGACCACGAGCAGAGCGAGCGGCAGAAGAGGCAAAAAGCAGAGCAGGCCGACCCAGACTGCGAGCCAATCAGCGGTGGTTAGCTCAGTCGACGCCCGGGCGAGACACCCAGGCTTCGGCGGGTCTGTGTCGGTCCTGACGGCATCTGTCTTCACCTCTGCCCCATCCTCCAGATTTGCTTCTTTGCTGGCCGTCTCCATTGGCAGTCGCGTCGTCCAGCCTCGCGGCGTCGAGATCCAGTGCAACAACTTCGGGCGGATCCTCGATGTGCGCCCGCGATGTGCTGACCACCCGAAGGGACGCACGCGTTTTGCGCCGCCCACCGTGCGCCTGCCTGCAACCGCCACGCCGATCAGTAATCTGTATCCGGACCAGTACAGATGCTCTCCCCCAAGCACTCAACGTGGACGTCGATGCCAACCCAATGGCCCAGCGTGCATCAACGCGTCGATATCCACATCAGCACCGATGGCACGCTCGGGCTTTGCGCAACCGTGATCTCTTTGGGCGCGGCGTTTGCAGGTGCGCTGTGGTCGTCAGCCTTCTTTTTGCGGACGTGGAAAGAGGTGATGTATACTTGAGGGCACACAGCCAAAGCAGTGACTTCTCGAGGCTTGGCCGCGTGAGGCGGGCAGGGCTCGGCGATGGCACTTGCGGTTGTCACTCTCGCACATTCGCTGGCGATTTGCGCGAAAGGGTGACCTCCTGGAGATAATGAGACATGTGCGCCGGTGTGCGTAGAGCCCTCTCAAAAACCCAGCTCAACCCCTGCCACACGACAACCGCACAAGCAGCCCCGCTTCCGCCGCCGCCGTGGCCCGTGCCGCCCCCGCGCCGTGGCGCCGGAAAGCGAAATCGCTCCCCTCGGCGCTTGCTCCCCAGGCCATCCGGCGCACCCCCACCCCATCCACCAGGCCCCCAGAGCCTCTCATCGCCAGAGCCCCGCTCTGTCAGAGGCTCTCAGCCTCGTCACAACGAGGTAAGAGAAAAAAGAGACGCATAACGAAATATGTGTCGCACTTGAGAGCGCGCGAGACTGCGTACCCCCCGCCGGCCCAGATTTTGGCTGCCGTGTACATAGACCTGTGTGTAGCTGAGATGAAGCGGCTAGGGTCGGCGGGAGGACAGCGGCGGCGGTGGTGGCTTTCGGGAGGACAGGCCGAGCGGCAGCGGCGGGGCACCCGGCCCGGCCGACGGCGCACCAGGCGGGGCGCCTGGCGGGGCGCCGGGCGGGGGCGGGGGCTTCCAGGTCGCGGGCGGCGGCGGCGCCCCGAGCGGCGGCGGCGGCGGCGGCGCTCCGTCCGTCTGAAGCAGGACCTGAGGGGGCGGAGGAGGTGCTGGGATGAGTCACGGGAGGTGGCGTGCGCACGTGCGGGGTGCGCGGCGGTGGGTGATGCGCAGGCAGTGCGGCGCCCGCCACCCGCGGGGAGTGTGCGGGAGAGGAGGAGGCGGGGCGAGGAGAAGTGCGGAGGGGGGGGAGAGGCGAAAAGGGGAGGAGAGAGCATCTATGCTCTCTCTCGCGTGATCTCGGCTGATCTCGGCCGACCCACCCGCGGCGTGGCAGCACCCGAGCCCGCGGAAGCGAGAGAGCCGTCCGCCACGGACAGCTGCACTCGAGCTGTCTCCCCGAGCTCTCCTGAGGCGGGGGCAGGGGGCAGGGGAAGGCGTAGAGGGAGGGAGGGTGGTTGGAGAGGGAGGGAGGGTGGCGGAGAGGGTGCGCACCGACTCCTCTCAGTGCGGCGAGGTCGATCCTCCCATCCGGGGAGCGAGCGGCGCCGCAGGAGTGGCGGGAGGGCGGCTCGGGGAGCGGCGAGAGCGCCGGCCCAGCGCGCGCGGTCAGGGGTCGCACGGCGAGCGCGAGCGAGGCGGCGTCGTGCCCGAGCTTTGCGCGGTGGTAAGCAAGCCGGCTCTCGACGAGGCGCATGGTGGCGTCGGTGGACTCGAGCTCGAGTCGCTGCGCGTCCAGGCTCGCGAGCAGGCTCGCGCCCGCCGCGCCCACGTGCTGGCCGACGGTCGACAGCGCGTCCACCAGGTACGCTTGCGTCTGCTCCACCGTTTCGGCCCGCGGCCGGCCGGGCTCGCGGTACGCAGCGGCGCACCACTCGGCGATCGCGCTCAGGTTGTCGCGGTCCGAGTGCAGCTCCGCACAGATGCCCTGCAGCTCAGTCGCCATGCCAGGTGGAGGCAGGCAGGGCGGAAGGGCGATGAGAGTGCGGCGGCTGGGCTGCTTTTTCCTTTTAAAGAAAAAGTCGGTCAGGCATGACGTGAGCCGGACTTCTGGGCCGGACCACCCCCAGTCCTTTCTCTGCGTTCTCGCACATGGAGTGCGAGGTATCTCGAAAAAGATTTTAGATCTGTCACTCCGCTTTCTCCCGGCCGGGGTGGGGTGCGCGCGGGGGCGGCGGGTGTGCGGGATGTCTGTGGGCCCGAGAGCGATATGCCATGTCCGCCTTGCTTTTGTTTCATAACATCGGTCCGAGCGCTAAGAAAATTGAAGAAAAAAGAAAAAGCACGTGCCTCGCTCATCTCCCTCTCACCCTCTCGACTCCCTTCCCTGCGCGGGGCTTTCTCTTTTCTCTCCCTCTCGTCGGCGCCAGCAATCCCGGGCCATGGCTGCTCTCCAGAAGGAGGCCGAGGGGATGGAGCTGCACCTCTGCCCGACGTCACAGTCGGGCTACAAGGGCGTGTGGAACACGGGCAAGAAGAACCTCCGCTACGAGGCGGCCGCGGGCTCCCACCGGCTGGGCCGGTTCGAGACGGCTGTCGACGCCGCGGTGTGCTATGCCAAGTACACTGCGTCCGGTGCGGAGGCGGCAAGCAAGTGGGTGGCAACGTGCGAGGCCCGGCGCGCCGGCGGCCGCCGCCGCCCAGCAGCGACGCCGGGCTCGCAGCGCGAGGCGGCACCGGCGGCGGGGCTGGTGACCGAGGCGGAGGGGCTGCGGCTGCACCTCGCCGCGGGCACGGCGACGGGATACGCGGGCGTATGGACCACGGGCAAGGTGGCACGCCCCTTTGAGGCGGTTGCCGGCGGCAAGCGCATCGGCCGCTTCGCGAGTGTCGTCGACGCCGCGGTGTGCAGCTACGGCGCGGTGCGCGGAGGACAGTTGGTTACTGAGTCTTCCGAGTCGTATGATTTAGGTGTGCTACGCGCGGCACTTGGAGTCGGGCCCCGCTGCGGCGCGCGAGTGGCTGGCGGCGTGCGACGCAAAGTCGGCCGAGGCGCAGCGTGCGGACTCGGACAAGAAGCGTGAGGAGGCGGTGGCGAGCTGCGCGGGCAAGGGCCTGCAGACAGAGTACAAGGGGGTGCAGCTGCACCTCGCCCCCGGCTCCAAGACGGGGTACGCGGGCGTCTGGCTCAACGGACGCGGCTCCGGCTACCGCGTCGCGCTGGAGCAGAACGGCTCACGCCGCGACCTCGGCCGCTTCAACGACGTCCTCGAGGCGGCGCTGGCATACGCGCAGTACGTGCAGGGCCGCGCCGCCGCCGCGACTGCCCCGCCCGCCGCCGCCGCCGCCCGCCCCGGCGGGAAGCGGAAGCGCGCGCAAGAGCCACCGCCCGTCGCCGCGGAGGAGCGCAGCGAAGAGGGGCAGGGAAGCTGAGCGTGCAGATGCCGACATGGCGCGTGAGTGAAGCAAGCCTGAGGGGGAAGTGCAGCGCCCCCCCGGGTGTAACGTGAAATGGCGCATACTCAGGACCACAGTGTGTGATTGCTATGGCGTTGCTGGCTTGTTGGTTCCTGTATGGAGTTGGTTCTGTATTATCGTGTATGAAATCCCCCACCCAATAACACTTACACACACACTTTAAGACTTATCACTTTTTCGTGTTTGGGGGGGGACGGAGAGCGGAGCACCGTTGCGTCACTTCCTACCCCCGCGAGCGCGCGGCCCCACGCACAAAGCATCGTTTCTTCTTCGCCGTCGCGGACGGACGAGCAAGCCGCTGTTGAGCGCGATCGATGGCATCAACCGACACCCTGTGGTTCGCCTTCCTCTCGGAGGAGAAGAGCGCTGTACGCCTGCGCAGCCGCGCCGATCTGGAGGCGGCCAGTAGGAAGGTGGACGTCGTATTTTGCGGAGGCGAGTGGAAGCCGATCGAGACGGTGCTCGAGGAGGCCACGGCACCGCCGACGCCGCGTCCGGGCAGCGCGAGCGGCGTCGCCGCCACCGCCGGGACGCCGCGCAACTTCACCCAGCACGTCTCCGTCAAGTACGACCCGCTCACAGGCGGGCTGACGGGCCTGCCAAAGGCGTGGGAGGGGCTGCTGCCCGAGGGCTGCTCGCGCGACGCAGTCTCGTACGCGGACGTGCCCGCGGAGCTGCGGCCGACGGGCGTCGCCGACCCGGGCTTGCGGCTCAAGGACGAACTCCTCGTCGGCGCGCCCTTCAACGTGCAGAAGTGGCGGCCTTCCTTTGGCCTCACCCCGTCGCGGCGTTCGAGACGGCCCCTTGCACAGGGCCCGTCTGAGCGCCTCCTCGGAGCTGATTCGTGTAGGCGTGCCGGTCGAGCTGGTGGAGACGACCCCGATGCACGGCTTCAGCATCCCGACCGTGCTGCTGACGCTGCGGACCGCGCTCGCCGAGGCTAGACACTTCCTAGACACTTCCTAGACACTTCCTAGACACTGCGCTGCACACACGAGTCGGGGCATGCCACCAGTGCAAGTGTGAGTCGGTACCCTTCCCTGTGCGTCAGGCGGGCGGGCTGGCCGAGGAGGGCATCTTCCGGGTCGCGCCCGACGGCGCAAAGTGCGCCGAGGCGGAGCGGCAGCTCGGCGACGCTCCCCTCGCCGTGCCGGCTGCGGCGGTGCGGGAGGCGCTCCGGCCGATCGGGTTTCGTCTCCTCTGGACGGCGCAGCTTGTTCCCTCTCTCAGGCGGGGGAGGCACACGTGCTGGCCAACCTGATCAAGCGCTGGTTCCGGCAGCTGCCGATGCGGTTGTTTGACGTCGTCCCCTCGGAGAGGCGAGTGGCCTGCAGCACGGGCGCAGAGTGCCTGGCGCTGCTGCAGAGCGACGCTTTCCCGCCGCTGCAGAAGGGGATCACGCTCTGGCAGCGATGAGCCGAGATGAGCCGAGATCGTGGCAAAGGCGAGGCGCCTTCCCCGAGCCTTCTCGGAGCCCTCCTCCTGCAGGCTGCTCGAGCTGATGTCGGACGTGGTCGACAACGGCGAGGAGAACAAGATGTCGCTCGACGCGATCGCGATTGTCCTCCCGCCGTACTTGCACCGGCCGAGATCGCGGCCGAGATCTCTTCACGCTCTGCGGTGTGAGCAGGTCCTCTCGCCCAACTTGTACACGCCGCTGGCGGAGGGGGCGGACCCATACGAGGCCCTCCACCACGCGAAGGCGAGAGATCGCCGAGATCGAGCCGAGATCGAGCAGCGGTCGAGCCGAGATCGGACCCGCCACGAGATTGCACGAGACTGGTCCACGGTGGCGCAACGTCTTCACGTGGGCTGTGAACGGCGCCCTCTCACCACGCGGCTTGACGAGAACAGGTGATGGCACACTTTGTCGTCGAGCTACTCTCCGCCTTCACAAGCACGCGCAAGCAGTGGGGGGAGCAACCCCCCTCGCTCTCGCACCCATCCCTAAGGCTGACTCACCCTAGGCACGCGCAACCAGTGGCGAAGCAACAGCGACGGACTCGCGGCAAGCGAGGAGGCTGCTGAGGCTGCGTGATGACACCCTGTCACGCCCCTCTCCAACGGTTGGAGCGCCGGCCGGCCAACGCAAGCGGCGAGGCGCGGCACCCCCGCCCCCGCCTCTATATAACAGCCGCCCTCCGACCCGCCAGCTCGCGAAGGGAAGAGCGTGTGTGCCGCGGGGCCTTTCTGCGTGCTGTGGTGCTGCTTTGGACACTGTGATGCGCCCGCACTGCGGGGAGCAGTGCCGCTGCCGGGCGCGCTTTCGCGTTTCGGGAGAGATACGGAGGTGAGACGATGGGCGTTCCGTCGGCTATTTCATGTTAAGCAGATGTTGAGACTCGATCGAGCGAGAGAGGAGATCTTGTTACACACATCTCCCCCTCTCTTTTTCTGATACGATCGAACGATCGTACGAGTTACTGTGTGAGTGTGAGAGTAGCAGTCGGCTCTAGCCGGAGAGCGCGGCGAGGCTGCGCGAGCTGTGCACGAGCTGCTGTGCATACTAGAGACAGAACGCGCCAGACGACAGCGAAGATCAGAATCGTATCGCATGCCGCCCCGCACGGTCGCGCGAGGGTGGTGAGAAGTGCCGCCGACCGCCTCGCCGCCTCCCCCATCGGAAAGATCGCCGAAACGGTCGAGCAGCCACTCCGCTCTGTGCCTTGCCGCAGCAATCACGCCCTGCCGCAGAGGTCGAGCCAACCGTCGAGCGCCCGCCGCACCTGCTCCATCGTAGGCCGCTCCTTTTGCTCTTGCGCCGTGCAGCTCTTGACCAGCTGCGCGAGGCAGGCGGGCCAGGCTGCGGACACGGCCTGCCGGACCGAGCGCTCGTAGCGGCAGCCCGCGACGTGGAAGGGCAGCGCGTCGAGCCAGGAGCGAAGCCGCTTCGACGGAGGCAGCGGCGAGGAGGCCTGCAGCGCCTTGCGGAGCAGCACCCCGAAAGCGAAAGTGTCGACCCCGGCGCCGTACGGCTGGCAGCGGTACACCTCGGGAGGCATGTAGCCGAAGACGCCGACGCGCAGCTCGCTCTGGTGGTCGGTGCGGGCCTCGGCGAGCGTCTCGCCGTCCCCAAAGTCGAGCGAGAGGCCAAAGTCGATTAGCCTCGCCTTGAGCAGCCCTCCGGTGGTCGGCGAGACGATGACGTTCGTCTCCTTGAGGTCGCGGTGCAAGATGCCTCTCCGGTGCAACGCCTCGAGCGCCTCGGCGACGTCGCGCATCAGCCGGACGGCCTGCTCGAGGGGCGGTCTGCTGGGTCGCCGGTGCAGCCGCAACAAACTCTCACCCTCGATGAACTCCATCACGACGAAGCCGCGCCACTCCCCCGCCCCGACCTATGACCACACAGTCACACTCAGCAGGGCCCAATTCACAATCCATAAGCCCCTCCCCCGCCCCGACCTCCGCCAGCCCGTGCCCCAAGTAGAGGGGCGTCTTCCTGATCACCGCGACCTCGTGCCGGAAGCAAGACACGTCCATCTCCTCGGCCGGGGCGCCGTGCCGCTCCACCTTGACGGGACGCACCGTCAGCTTGAGCGCGACCAGCCGCAAAGTCTCCTTGTTCGTCGCCCGGTGCACCACCGCAAACTGCCCAATCCCGATTATCTCGTGCAGCGAATAGTTGGCGAGGCGCGTGACGGACGAGGCGGAGAGCTCTTCAATCGTGGGCGAGGGGAGAGGCGAGGAGAGGTCGCCAGAGAGCTCGTCAATCGTGGGCGGCCGCTTTGGCGCGTCCGACACAGAGTGCCGGAACCGAACCCGCTCCCCGCGCGGCTGGCTGCACTTCCAATCCTCCCTCCACCGGTTGCGCCACCCGCCGTTCAGGAGCAGGCGGTCGTTGATGGCGCGGCCTGAGCCAGCCCGGATTGCGGCGGCGAAGGCGCTGCCGTCATGCACCGACCAATTCAGCGCCTGCTGATCGTCCGCCGGTCGCTCTCGCGATCGAGAGACACGCGCAAACGCGGCGCCGTCGTGCACGGTGTGCTCCATGGGGCCTGTTTCGTTTCGTAAAAAATAACGATTTTAGAGCCGATTTCACAACCCCTGGGATATGGACGCCATCCGAGAAGCGACTTCGATCGGACTTCGACTTCGCATCTCGCTTTTGCGCGCAGGCGCTCGCCGCGGCGCCCACGGCCGCCGAGCAGGACAGCTAGGCTCCGCACACGGCCCAGGAGGCTCGCGCGCCGAAATTCGGGCTCGAGTCTGGCCATCGGACGCCGCCGCCGCCGCTCCGCGCTCAGCTAGGCTCCGCGCCGCCGCTCGCGCTCTCAGGCTCCGCAGTGCAACGCGACGACAGAGCCGCCGGCGTCCGAGATCAATCGACGCGCCAATCTCAGCGGGCGGCCCCGACGTGCTCTCGCTCCGAGCTGCTCGGTCCTCCGACAGCGCCGCCGCACCTCTGCGCTCCCGGCGAGCAGAGCCGTGGCCTCCGCCACGGCCGCGCCGGTGGTGCAGCGCTACTGTGTACGCACTCGAGTGCTGCGCCGGCGGTGGGTGTCGCGACAGCGATTGGACGCGCAGCAGCACTCCATGTGCGGCCCGGCGTGCGGTACTTGTCGCTTTCGGGGTGTGGCCTGTGAGAGCTGGTTGTGCGCGGGCGGCACGCACTCGAATCGAGGCATTAGCTTGTAGTACGTACACCAAAACATTGTGCTCCGCGAGGGGGTACGCCCATGCACATGCGCTCGCACAGACGTAGACGCTGGGCCGCGCACGTAAGAGGAGAGAGAGACAGTGTCCAGACACATGCACAAAGCGACTCGAGTGGGGGACCGACACGTCGGCCGAACACAGTCGGCACCGCGGCGCAAGAGAGGCGACGGAGTCAGTACGGTGATGCTCACAGGGACGACATGCGCGCCGGTCGTGCCGGGACCCCCGCGCGGCGGAGTCTCCCGGCAGAACTCAGGTTCAGTGCACGGTCGGCGGGCCCGGCGGCGGGCCCGGCGGGCCGGGCGGCGGCCGAGGCAGAGGAGGGTAGGGAGAGGCAGCGGCGCGGCGCTGCTGCTGCTGCTGCTGCTGCTGTTGGGCGGACGAGGCAGTTCGGGCCTGCAAACAGCAAGCGCACGAGGCAGTTGTGTGTGTGTGTGTGCGTGGCGAGGGGGTGGAGGGGGGGAGGGGGTGGGGCTGTGAATGCATCGCACCTAGCAGTTTTGGCCGAAGAGGGCCGCGAAGCGGCTCTCGATGTTGAGCGTGCGCGGGAAGAGGTTCGCTCCCAGCGCGTCCGTGGCGAAGGGCGCGTCGCTGCTGCCGGCGGGCGCCTTGAGCTCGAAGAGAACGCCGGCGATCGCCTTCCAGGGAGTCATCGGCCGCGCGCCCCCCGCCTTGCGCTTGGCTTGCTTCTTCACCTCGCGCAGGATCGCCATGTCCATCTTGCCTACAGACAGTGAACGGCGTACGGGCCCCAGAAGGGATGCGAGCAACGCGAGGAATAAATACGTGTGAAGACACGCGAGCGCGGCCAATCCTTCGCGCCCTTTTCGAGCGTTTCGCCCTTTGCGATCACCGCGTTGAGCTTGCGGTAGAACTTCTCCTCCTCGGTGAGCTCGGCGTCCGCCGCGGCCCGCGCGTTGATGACTGCGAAATCGGCCGCCTGCGCAGCCGCCGCGTCGCGGGAGCCGCCGGCCTGCCAGCCACCGCCGCGTGTGTGGCCGCCTACGAGAGAGAGAGAGAGCCGCGTGAGCGAGCGGAGCGGCGAGAGCGCCGCAGTCGCGCGCGGGGAGAAGCGCACGGCAGACGCCGCAAGGGCAGTCGTCGGGGTGCTTGCCTAGAGAGAGACAGAGAGCCGCGTGAGCGAGCGGAGCGGCGAGAGCGCCGCAGTCGCGCGCGGGGAGAAGCGCACCGCAGTTGCCGCAGGGGCAGTCGTCGGGGTGCTTGCCTGGGAGGGAGACAGAGAGCCGCGTGAGCGAGCGGAGCGGCGAGAGCGCCGCAGTCGCGCGCGGGGAGAAGCGCACGGCAGACGCCGCACTCGCAGCCCTCCGCGTGCTTGCCTAGGGAGAGAGAGAGCCGCGTGAGCGAGCGGAGCGAGCGGAGCGAGCGGAGCGAGAGGAGGTCGGGCCGGTCTTGCCGCTGCCGAGGTAGAGCACTCCGAAGAGTTCGCGCATCACACTGCCATCCGCGTCGACGATGGAGAAGCACGGCGAGCTGCACGTCAAGTGCGACATCTGCAGGCCGAGGAGCGCGCGCGGCAGCTGCATCGCATAGTGCAGCCGCAGAGCGCCCGACGACTCGCCGAAGCCCACGCGGCTGCAGCCCTGCTCGCGGGCAGGAGAGCGGGTCGGATGGGGAAGGGGGCGGCGCGGCGGGCGGCGTGGAAGGGGTGAGCAGCCTGCTGCTGGAACAGCCAGAGCTGCACAAAGGCGGGCCGCGGTGGCTGCACAGGCGCGAAGCGGACGGTCACGGGCGCGTCGCGCGCGGGGAAAAAGGCAAAGTAGGCGGCGCTCCCGCCATTCTCGTACACGAGCGCCTTTGAGATCCCCGTGATGACGAGGAGCGACTTGTCGCTCAGCTTGAAGAGCTTGACGCTGTTCGCCGCGGCGTAGTCGAGCACTGCCTCGCGCAGCCGCGCGCTCTTGAAGACGACCACCATGCGCGCCGGCGAGAAGAAGACGAGCGAGAAGAAGGGAAAGTAGAAGGAGTCGGAGAGCGACTGGTTGTGCGCGTCCTCGGGCCGCTGCACGCCCGTGCACTCCTGATCCGACGTGATCTTGAAGCCCGGCTGCCAGTTGAACACGCACAGCGAGGAGGAGGCGTTGCTTCCCGGCGGGACGGGCGTCGCGATAGGCTGCCCGCCCATCGCCTCGAGGCAGCCGAGGCCGGCGGACGCGCCGGAGGTGCACATGCGCGGCTCTGGATCCGTCGTCTTTAGCATGGTAGGCACCCAATGCGGCGTGCCGGCCGGCATCTGCGGCGAGGGATGAGAGGGGTGGAGCTTCGACCGAGGTGGGGAGTGGCGGGCGAGGGCCGGGTCGCGCCTCCTTCAGCACCTCCGAGTAGAAGTCGGGGCGGATGTCGGCGGCGGAGAAGACGACGTGCGCGTCGTCCTTTGGCTTCCACGACTCCACCACGGCGATGACCGTCGTATAGCTGCGCAGCACGTGAAGCGGGGAAGGGTCGCTGTATGAGATCTGCCCCGTCTTGAGGAGGTGCTTGGCCATCTCGCAGGCCGCCTGCGCCATTTCAGGCTGCGGCGGCACGCAGGCGAACTTCCCGAGGGTGGCGAAAAGAGCCAACCACGGGACGAGCAGCGCCGTCTGCGACTCGTTGAGATAGAGGGAGCCGCCGGAGGCGTTGTGGAGCATGTCCTCGCCGGACAGCAGGGCGACGAGGGCCGCTGCCCCGCCTCCGGGGCCGCTCGTGCTCCACGACGGGACGGGCTGCGCCACTGCAAGCCGGGCGAGCAAGACTGCGGCGTGCGACTTGAGGAGAGCGTTCTCCGCCTGGATCTCCTCGAGCTTGCGCTTGAGCGTGTCCTGCGACACCGCCTTGAGCGTCATTCTGGAGGCGGGCAGGCTGGGCGGGCGGAGAGAGAGGTGCGGGCGGGAGGGGGCGGCTCGGCTGGGATTGGAGCGAAACGCACGAGAGGAAACCAGCAGCGTCACCGATCCCAATGGTCTCCCGCCGGAGCAGGATCCGTGCGGGAAGGATGTGTTCGAAGGAAACTGGCCGCGGTGCGGCACGGCGGTAGCAGCGAGGGCGAGCGGAGCGAGCGGCGCGAGCGCAGAGGAGGGTCGGCGGGGATGAGGGTCGGGGGAGGAGGGTCGGCGAGGAGGATGAGGTGGCTCCGGCGCTCTCACGTTGTGGTCCGACATCGGCGGGGTGTCTGACGGGCGGGCGCGCGGTGAGCGAAGGCGCGCGAGAGTTCGCGCGCTGGGGCAGGTAAAAAGAATTCCGTGCAGCTGCACTCCAAGTGCTCCAAGTGCGCCGTCCTCCGTGTGTGTGTGTCCTCCCCTATGAAATACTGCGCAACCACAGACTAGTAGAGACCTCTGCGCTATCCGAGCTGCACCTTGTCCCGAGGACACTGCCGTAGCCTGACCACAGCCTCGTTTGTGATTGTGTGCGCGCGCGCGCCCGCCCTGCCTCCGGATTCCCATCATTCCGTATGCTCACATGCATCACACCGCGGAATCCTCCTACTACTGTGAGCTCGGCTCCAAGATAGCGAGCATATCGTCATCTTTGAGCTCCGCTAAAGCGGGGGGCGGGAGCGCGCCTGCCTTCCTCTCCGCCTCTACCTCCGCCTCGGCCTCTCCAGTCCTTGAGGCGGCGGGCGGAGTGGCCTCCAAGCCTACGGGCGGGGCAAAACGCCCCGAGGGCGGCCCCGCCGCCGCCAGCCCCGCCGCCGACCGCAGAGGCGACCGCAGTGAGGGAGATGAGGGGGTCGGTGAAAGCGCAGGCAGCGCCGCCCCGCTCGACGCCTGACGGTCGCGGACGGAGAGCGTGATGCGGCGAACGGAGGGAGCGGCGGCGGCGCGTGAGCGCGCCGGCAGTTGCTCGGAGGTCGACCCGCCCTCCCCGCCCAAAAGTTCGTCCCGCCCGGCCTCGATCTCCACTGCTTCCGCGCATGCGCGCGCTCGCATGCGCGCCCCCTCCGCCTCCCTCTCCTCGGCCTGCGTGCGGGTGGAGCGTCTCACTCACGGCGGTGCTGGGCCACGCGGTGCTGGCGCGCGACGCGCAGCGGTGTGTGTGGCGTGGGCACCTCCGCGACCTCTGCCGCCGTCCGCGTGCATGGCATCAGCTCTTTCCAAACGGCCTCGCGGGAGATGGCCGGCGTGATGCTCATCGCAAACCTCTCGACCGCCTCCAGCATCGCGTCCCTGAGCAGCGAGCGGCCGGGGGGGAGCATCCGCCACGTGCTCTCAAAGTCCGCCGTCAGACCAATCACGTCCTTCACCGCGAACGTCACCTCGGGCAGATCCGCATACTCGGGAAGAGGCCGCAGACGCACGCCCATCACCGCCTGCGTGCCGCCGAGCATGCACGGGCCTTTCCCAACGACGACGTGCGGGTGGTCCGCGTAGTCGACGTTTCTCGCGCGGACGTGAGTGGCGAGGAAGACGAGCCGACCGATCCTGTGCTCCTTCTTCCGCCTTGAGCCCGAGTTAGGGCGGTTCGGCTTCTTGCTGTGGCGCACCTCGCCCTCCTCGAGCGGGTCGGGCTCGGCGCGGCTCCTCTTCTTGAGGTCGCGAGGACGCTGCGGGCCGGAGAGTGTCCCCTAATCGGGGCACGCGCGCGCGGTTGATTAGCGTGGGTGGGGGGAGGGGGGGAGCACGCGCGGCTCGCCTCCCGCATCATCCGCTGCACGGCGGCCTCCACCGACTGCGGCGGCGTGTTGATGTGCGAGTAGGGCCGCCCCTCGCCAACGGTGATCCAGCCCTCCCACTGCGCCGTCGGGGAGTGGGGGCGCATGGCGGGCGGCTCGTCGAAGGTCTTTGCGACCGCTGCGGCCAGCATCGGCGAGAAGCGCTCGACAATCTCCTCCCCATGTTTTTCCTTGCGCTCGCACCACGTGCCGAGGAGAGAGGGGTCAAAGTCGCCGCGCACGTACACCTCGAACGCGTCCATGCAGTTGATGTGGGCGTCCTTGTCCCCGCAGATGGCGGCGTAGACCTGTTGGCACGCCCGAGGAAAGCCTGTATACTCCTTTCCGAGCAGCTGCCGCGCCCTCGCGAACCTCTCGGCCTCAAAGGCCTGCACGCCGAGCGCCCTTGGTGCCCCGCACACGCGGACGACGCGCGTGATGCCGAGCCGCTTCGCGTCAAAGTCGATGACCTCGAGCACGACGATCGGGACTCGATGCCCGCCGATGCGCTCGCGGTAAGTGACGAGGAGGCGAGGCACTCGCATTTGTGTACGCCTGCCTTGCTGGGGACGTTTACTCTTTTCTTGAGAGGATTCTTGAGAGCACAGAAACATGGGGACAACGTGCGCGCTTTATTTGGCCTCCTTTCTTTTTTGTTTTTGTGGGCACTCACGAACACAACACATACTCATAAGCAACCTTGTCGCCAATGCAGGAGCTGACTGACGGACACACGTGAACGAAACGGAGGCGCCTGCTGTTTTTCAAAAAAATAACACACCGCGCCTCAGCGGAGCTGGGAAGAGGACCGCCGCAAGCGGCGTGGGGTGGGTCGGTTGTGCATCCCTCCGGGCCCCTCTGCGCCGGGGATGCGTTGTTGGAGGCTAGGACGCAAGCGTCCGTCGCCCTTTTCAAACTCGGGGCCCACTCCGCTACGGCCTACGCTCCGACCCGAATTTGGAGGGCCTAAAAGTTTAAGGTGTTGCTGCGCAAAAGCCAAAAGGGGTCGGGGACACAGGGCGCAGCTCATGCCAAGAGCTAGAAGGGGAGCTAGAGTGTAGAGAGAACGACTACCCTGTCCCGTTGTTGCGTACACCAACACCACAAAAGCTCTCTCTCTTCCTGTCCTCACCCTAGATGTTAAGTCTGTATTTTGTGTATTTGGACTTGGGCTGAAAACACAGTGTATTTTGCGTGTATTTGCTCCACAAAGCCAGGATACACACTCGATGGGGACCACTAGATCCTACCAGCGCGCCGCAGGCGAAGGAAATTTTGCCGTATTTCGTGAGTTTTCATTGATTTTTCGCAGCTTTGACCAACATTTGACCTTGGGAGTCGGTCACTTGAAGACAGGTAATTGAGCTTTTTGGTATTTCGGATTTGGACTTGACCATTTGTGCATGTGACTCCCTGGTCTGCCAACCACCGGCACCGCCACCACTGACTGTGTATTTGGCTGTGTATTTGCTGTGTATTTGCTCACAGGCCAAAAAAACACAGTGTATTTTGTGTATTTGCTACCCCCACCCTGTGTATTTAACATCTAGGGTCCTCACTCAGGGGGGTCACACAACTACCGAGTCCCTCGACTAGCTGCCACGTTGCCGACCGAGAGCGGATCTCCTCCTGCTCCGCAAGGAGGGTGGCCAAGGCTAAATTCTTGCCGGAGCCGCCGGGCGCGTTGACGACTTGGAGAAGGTCGCCCTTCCTTGTACTTGTACTTGTAGAGATGCTCGAGGGGGTGCTTTGTGGGGCGGTGCGCAGCCAGGCCAGCAGTGAGGGGAGGCGCACCCTCACTCTCCTCGGTTGCAGAGCTCGTCGGAGGCTGCGGCACGACGGGAGGGTCGCGATAGCAGTCCTCGGGCGAGCCGACGCGCATGTCCAACCAGCGCTGGGACTCGTTGTGACGGCAGACGCCGGCTGCCTCTCCAACCGCTTCTGCAGCGTCCTTCTTTGCCCGGTGCATGGGCTCGATCCGATTCCGCAGCGTGTCGTCCCCAGCGGCGGTGCTGCGCGGGAGGCGGCCGCGGGCACGCTGGGCTCGATCAGCGGACGTTCTTGGCTTCAATTTTACGGATGTCTTGGCACCAGCTGAAGGCTTGCACAGTTCGTGCACGGTATTCGGATTTTGCTATTTGCTCGTGTGGGGGTATATTGCAGATTTGTCAATGGTACCGCGTCTGCGACGCGGGCGCCTTGCGGGCAGAGCCCTTAGCCACCCTTCATATCTTGCGCGGTCATAACACGCACGACAAACACGAAGTCCTCGATGGCAAGCTGTAAGCGGTCGGCGGCGAGACTGTGGCTGACGGCGCAACTTCCAACCTGGCGGAGCGGTACGACTTGGCTACGAACGTATGGGAGGTGGCGACGCAGATGGCGGCGGCACGGATGCTCACACCATGGGGAGAGAGAGAGATTTTAGAAAACCAACCAGAAATCACGACTCTCACAGTGATTTGGGCTCGGCAGCTTGTGCCTTGTCAGCCCTCAGCCGAAGCTGGGGCCGGTCCCGTAGCCGAGAGAGCCCGCGCCGATGAGTTCGACGCGGTCGGGGAGGCCTGCAGAGAGGCCAGCGAGATGGCGATCGCTGTACTTCATGGTGTCATCAAGTGACTGGCTGACTCGCCAGAGGTCGATACTCTGGACGACCCATAGGATACCACGAATGCCTGGAGGAGAGGGAGGCGAGGCCAGAGGCAGGCTCAGCTGCTCTCGGATGATCTCACTTTGGTGGCTAAAGGACCCGATGGTCCTGTCACATTCGCGTTCCGAGTCGTGGGGGTAGAAGAATTCGAGGTAGAATCAAGTCAGCACTTCCTTGTAGTACAGCGGTCCGCCAGGCTCGCCGGCCATCCGCAGGGAGGCAGCATATGAGGCACCAGTCTTCTGAAGAGCTCAACAGCTGCTGGTAGAGTCGGCCGCGGTTCGAGCGAGCAGCTTTTGGCTGCGGGATCGAATCGCGGAAGGCCCATGCCCTCGCGGAGCGACGCGGGTCGCGCGGCGCGCGCGTGTGCGAAATGCGACAACAGACGACAGAGGACAGACGCCTAAGCGCTGTACGGCAGAACGACCGTCGCCGCAATCGCCACCGCCGCCATTTTGACGAGCAGCGCGAGCGCGCTCGTCGGCGGCCAGCCGTCGCGGGCCGGGCCGAGCCCGGCCTCGACCGGCCGCGCCGCCGCAGCAGGCAGGCCGGGAGGTCCGAATGGCGGCCGACCAGCTGATAAGGACTTTCACCATGGGCATGGCGGTGCTCGACGGCAAGGTCTATGCTGTGGAAGGGACCCCGCTACGAACGCGTGGGAGGCGGTGGCGCCGATGGCGACAGCACGGAATATCGGTATGCTCACGCCGTGGCCGTGCTCGACGGCAGGCTGTGTGTATGCTGTTAGCAGGCGTACGCCATCAGCGACGGCACCCCCGTCGGCGCCATTCCTGGCGCAATGTCGTTGACAAGGTAACTCCCCGGAACATTTGCGATAAAAAATACCTTGCCGCCTATTTTGCCAGGAGGGTCGACTCTCGTCCTTCCGTTCAGTACCACCACTGTCGACCATATGAGCGGCGCCCCAGCGGAGCCCTCGCCCGCAGTCATGGCTCGGGACGCCGCACCTTCGAGCGGCTGGCTGACCGGATGCTGCCTGCCCTGCGTCGCCTCTCCGTTTCTGGACGCCGCCCTCCTCCTCGCGCCCGTCTGCTGCGGTCTCTCAAGCTACCTCGGCATGGAGAGGACGCAGGCTGCAAATCACAACGACCTCGCCCTCTGGTCGCTCCAGCACCCCGGCCGAGGCGCGGGCTGCCCCTGGTACTGCGGCTTCGGCTGCGGCCTCCCCATCGGCGCAGTCTTCCGCTGGTGGACCTACCTCGACGGCTCCATCCCGCTGACTGTCAATGTCGAGTACGGTCTCTTTGCTCGCTCCAACGGGAGGACGCCCTACCTGCGGCGAGAGGCCTGGTTCGGAAAGTATTTTGGCTTCACGGGCAAGCTGACCCTCGCCGACGGCGATCGCATGGACGCGATGCTCGAGGGCGCGATGGACCGCGGCGAGTACCTTGGCCCTCACCCGCTGACTAACATGCCCTCCTTCTCGGACGGCTCCACCTCCTTCCCGCTCGCTCTGCCCTCGGGCCACTGCCCGATGAACACGGGCGCACACGCAACTTTCATTGCAATGTTCCAGCGCTACTTTTGGAACGCGGAGGCTCGGGCGAGGCTCGCACCCGACAACGAGGTGGCGAGGCGGGCCGAGGCGGAGCTCGCCACGGGCTTTGCCGCGGCGGTGTCGCTGTACGAGCGGGCGCCCGCCAAGTTTGCCGCGGGTTGGTCCGGCAGGGACCTCGCCTTCATCGACGTCTACCTGACGCGGCTGGTCTTCTGGGGGATGCTCGGCGTGGACATTGGCGCCGCCGGCACGCCGGAGTACGAGCTTGCGATGTGGGCGCAGGACAAGGTGAATCTGGGCGCGTCCTACTTCACCATCTACGACGTGGTTCCTTCGCGGCTCGTCTCCCTCCTTGGACTGAACAGGGACAAGCTTCGCCGCCTGCACGAGCTGGTGCAAGGCTGCGACGCGCTCCGCGACTTTGCGCCAGAGTCGTCGACCGACGGGTGGGTCGATGAGCGCGAGGGGCGGACGGCCCAGATGCTCGTCGACGACCTGAACGGCGCCTCGCCTCGCCGCGTCTCCAAGGAGGAGTTCGTCGCGCAGCTTGTGCCGGTACTGATCATGGCGGCGCTGCAGGGGCCAAAGACCCTCGGCCGCACCATCGCCTCGAGCCACTTTGGAGGCATCCGCACCGGCCGCCTCGCCAGCGCGGAGGAGGAGGCGTACCCGCTCTGCCCTCCACCCGGCTTCGCCTTCCCGTACGGCAGCCGCGCAAAGCTGCAGCTCGTGGTGCCGCGGCCTAGACGCGGAAGCCATATGCTTCAGCTAGCACTCGACACTGCGTTGCAGTCGCACTCGCTCTGTGGTCGCGGCCCTTGTATCTCTGAACACACACTGCACGATCCGGACTCCCGCCTTCCACTCCCTGTGATCACACGTCAGGTGCTCGAGACGCTGCGTGTCAACCTTCCCGTGTACGAGACGGTCGGCAAGCTGGCGGCGCCTCTCAGCGTCGCAGACTACGCCGGCCGCGGGCCCCAGACCTTCCCAAAGGGCTGCCCCGTCCTGCTGTCGTACCCGTCCACCAGCGCCTCGAGCGAGGTGTACGGCGACAGCGCCCTCACTTTTGACCCGACTGCGCACGCGGGCGGCCTCCAGGAGAGGCTCAACGGGTTCAACGGCGTCGGAACCGCCGGGCGACGCCTCTGCCCCGGGCGGGACCTCTCGCTCGAGATGCTCGTCAGCATGCTCGAAGTGTTTGGCCGAGTGCAGCGGCGACAGGCCGCAGCCAGTGCTGCTTGAGCTGACCGCACCGCGGCGCGACACGGACCGTGCGCCCCACACGTTTTGCCCACTGTGGTCGCCGACGCGGCGCTGTGCGCCTGTGCCTGTGCGCTGACGATCTGTGCTGTGCCTGTGGGCGAGGGCTGTCGGCTGTGGGCGTGTGGCCCGACACACAACGGCGGGGCGCCCGTGAGGCGATGTGTGACACAGGCGGTGCCACGCAAAACGCAGGAAGGGCTTGTATTTCTTATGTTTGTACACTGCTGGCACGTCCCGAACCCCCGCGCACGCGGCACACGACTGCTCTTCCTCGGCGCCTCTTGCCCCAGGCAAGGCTTTTGCGAGAGCGCCGACTCATTTGCAGCTGCCACGGCGCGGGACGGGCATCCAAGAAGGCGGCATTCACGCCTCACGGGCACTACTCAAACTCCTCCTTGAACATCTGCAGCCGCTCGATCATCTCTGGCCTCGCGGGCCAGCGGTACTTGCGGTAGAGGTCGCGCTGTGCCACGTTCGCCACCTCAATCTTCTGCTTGGCCGCCGTGATCTTGACGCGAGAGCTGCTGCAGACCTCGGCCTTCACCTCGGCGTCCGGGAACACTTCCTGCGGGGCGAGGGCGGCACGGTGAGGCCCCGGGGGCGAGGGCGGCACGGTGAGGCCCCGGGGTGCCGCGCAGGAAGGAGGATGGCTGCCGCGCGCGCTCCTTGACGGCAGCAATCGCGACGTCGCGCTCCTGCCGTCCCCCGTCTCAGCTGTGCCCGTACGAGACGACAAACTCATGCGGACAGGTGGCCATTGTGCACTGGTGGCGAACTGGCGATGCGAGCGATCTGGACGCCGCGAGTCCAGAGAGACTCGTCCTTCCGCAACAAAGAGAATTTGCAGATTCTGGTCTAGGCACGGGACGATGCGCCCTCCCCCCTCGCTTTTGCAAAATCCTGCAAAGGTGGGGACGTGTCTGTCCTCGACCCAGCCCTAGCTTGGGATGTCCGTTGTATTTATTTATTTATTGACTGGCGCGTCTGGCACTAACAAAGAGAATTTACAACAAAGAGAATTTTCTAGGGGTATCCACCTCGAGAACCTGAACAACGCGAGCGCGAGAGGTGTCGTCTGCGAGGCGGCGGCGAGCGCAGGCGGCGCAGGCGGCGGCGGCGCGGCGGCGCGGCGGCGGATCGCGGCGCTGACAACGGCAGCAATCTGCGGCAGGCTGCTGCTTGCTGCTGCTGCTGCTCTGCTGCTGCTGCTGCTGCTGCTGCTGCTGCTGCTGCTGCTGCTGCTGCTCTGCTGCTGCGGATTGTGGATACGATTTCTCCGATCACCCCGCCCGCCCGCCCCGCCCCGCCCGCCCGCCTCTCCCCGCTTGCCCGCCCGTCCCGCCCGCCCGCCCGCCCGACACCCATTCCCATCACATCTCACATACCTTCATATAGGCGCTCGAGACCTCCTCTCGCTGCCTACTCGCTGCCACGAGGGAGGAGGGGAAGGGCGGGGGCCGCGGTCGGGAAGACCACTCCTCGATAGCGATCCCTGCCCATACCCTCCCCGAAAGGCAAGTCTAAGCCACATGAAAGCGAGACCCCTCCCCACCGCCCCGACCCCTCCACCCCCTTGCTCCCCTCCCCCCCTCAACAGAGGCGCCGGCCACTCTTCGGATCGCTGGTCGAGCGACCCGGGGGATGCCCCGCGCGCCTGACCCAGGCGCGAAAACGAATCTGCGAGGCGTGGCCGCTCATGCGGCCCGATGGGGAGGAACGCAACGGGGCGGCCCGATGGGGAGGAACGCAACGAGGATCGGCCTCTCACACCGCCCTTCCTTGCAGCGAGCCCCCCCTCCAACCCACCCGCGCTAGGTCGCGGGTTTGACGCATGGGGTCACTCCCGCGAAACTCGTGAACTAGCCGGGGCAGTCGGAGAAGGGGCAACTCCGTGCACTGACGGTCGGCGCCGCCAGAAAACACGCCTGCGTGGATCGCGTCACACCAATCCTCGCTACCCAAAGCGGCCAAAGGATATCCACCTCGAGAACCTCGAGAGAGAGGCTGTTGGAGGGTTGCCATTTCCCAGGTTCGACTGGCCGTTCGTGCGTCACGCTTCGGCTGTGTCGGGCACGCCGCCAGACGAAGAGGGCCTGGCGGTGTGGGGGTGCGCAGGTGGCTGCTATTTTCGCACTGACACCTTCCTTCGATTGCGTGCCGAGAGACCGCATCTGTGGAACGATGCCGCAGCCCAAGCGGCTTAGGAGGCCGGTGCCTGCATGGAATTCATGGACGTGGTCGGGCCTGCGATTGCGATGCTGGGCGGTGCTCGCGTGGGTGCGCCCATGGGCTGCTGTTCGGCAGGGCGGCAAAGGAATCGCACCGGCCCATGCGGTGATAGAGCACAAATGCCGGGAACAGCTCCGCCTGCGCTCCAAGCAGGAATGGCGTACTATCACGGGCTGTACTTTTTAGCATGGCATGCTACAATAAAGTAGTCAATAATAAAAAGTAGCTGTAGCTACTAAAGTAGTACTCACAAATCACAATACTGACAACTGACTGAATGAAGAAATCACTTGGAGCACTTGGAGTGCAGTCATTAGCCTCACATCCACGGCCGGGGGGGCTAAGAAGCACACACCGGCTCTCCTCCAGCAGCAGAGATGTGGGAGTCCTTCCGACAAATCAAGCAGCCCGACCGCCGCGAAGCGGGATGATAGCGAGAGGTGTACTCCGCGAGGTTGAGCGCTGCACGCGGGTACTCGGCGGTGTCGCAGCGTCGAGCAACACTCGGTGTCAGAGCGTCGCGCCAAATCAGTAGTCTCATCGCCGAGTGATTGCTGGCCTGTGGCGTATGACCTCGCGCCGATATCACCAACAACGAGCATGCGAAGATAGGGAACCATATCTGATGGACTTGTACCGCCCGCTGTGCCACAGCTGCGAGAGCCGTATCTTCCCTCCTTGAAGCAGAGGCGCCGCGAGGCACGAGAGGCGTAGAAGAGAGGCTGGCGTGCCCCGCACCGCCCGGCTGGCAGTAGGAGGGCCCGCCGGTGAGACCACTGATTTTGGTGCCGAGAGACCATAAATTCTCGCCACTGGAACGCATGCTACTTACAGCTGCTGTCTGCACAGAGATGCCAGCACCCTCCACAGGCAGAGCTCTGCTGCTAGGGGGGAGGGGGGGGGGGGGGGTTCGGCCATGGGCTTAGGTGTGCAGGGGGGGTACCGAGCAGTGTGCGGCCGCTCAAGCCGCTCGTCGGACAGGCTTGCTCGGACGCTCGATAACGGCGAGTGCATGGCGCACGCCTTGGACGGTGGCGAAGCCAAAAACACCGGCATTGGCCGTCCGCTGGCGTGAGCGGCGGCGGTCGAGACCTCACCCTTCGCGCCGACGACCTAACCTCACTCGGAACAACCTCAGTCCTCACACCCAAACAACCCAACCTAACACGAACGAAACAACCTCACCCAAAAAGCACGATTCTCAAGTTGGGCCCTCATACTGACAACTGACTGATGAAGAAATCACTTGGGCACTTGGATTTCCGACGTGGCTTTTCTTACTTCCAGCAAGGCAGCAACTACTCGAGTATGGAGCCGACGGCTGACGACCCTTCAGTGCAGTACATGCTCACCACCAACAACGTACCTCACCGCCAGTGTGCGACCGAGCTGGTGGCCTTCCTCCCGAAGCCGTTGGCCGCGAGCGTCCGCCACGGCAAGGCGTCGTCTCGTGGAGTGACGTGCGATGCGCCGGCGTCAGCGGCTCCGACGCTGGCGGCGCTCACGCTTCCCGAGCGCATATACGCCGTGGTGTGCTGCTTGCCAGCCACCAGCCTGCCAGACGACGAGGCGGCGGTTCTCCCGGCGCTCAGGACGCTCGTGGCGGAGGCTCCAGGCTGGCCTGCCGCACTTGCCGCGCACTGCCAACTCCACCCAGGGCTGTCGAGCCTCTCGTTCGCCGTGGTCGCCACTCGCCGCGGCCGCCGCTTCAAACAGAGCGTCGGCAGCCTACAGCTGGGTACCGAGCTCGGTGGCGCGCTGCACACGTACTTTGGCTGGCGCGTCGATCTGACTGCGCCGTCGCTCGAGGTGACCGTCTCGCTCAACGACGAGGGGTTGCACGTCTCACTCGCGCTGCTGCGCCGCTTGGACTCCATCGAGTGCCGCACGCGTGGCGGGCTCGACCCGCACGTGGCGTGGGCGATGGTGCGCTCGCTTGGCGAGCTGCCGCCCGGCGGACTCGTGTGCGACCCCATGTGTGGCAAGGCCAGCCTGCTCCTCGAGGCGCTCGACGCGCATCCGCTCTGCGTCGCCGCCGGTTTTGACCTCGCCGACGCGCAGCTTGAAGCCGCCATCGCCAATCACACAGCGGTGCCGCCGCGAATCGCCGCACGGCTCTCGCTCATGCGCGGCGATGCCTCGCAGCTGCCATTCGCGGCGGGTGCGTGCGCCGCAATCCTGTGCGACCTGCCGTTTGAGTGCGAGGGCCGCTTCGGCTACAAGCTCGACACATCGCGGGGCGGCACGCTCGGCGCATGTATCAAGGAGATGGTCCGCGTGCTGCGCCCTGGCGGCCGTGCCGTGCTGCTAATGGGCGACGAGCGCATGCCGCCGCTGCGCGAGGCGCTCGCCGACGCCGGGCTGCGCGCCATGTGCGAGCGCCCGTGCCCGCTGGGCTTCACGCAGGCGACCATCGTCGTCACCGAGAAGCCGGCGGGCGCCTCCGAGGCCATCGACGATTCAGGCACCGGAGAGGAGCCTCAGCAGCGGCATGCGCCAGCAGGCGAGGGCGGCGCCGGTGGCAGTGAGACATCGACGCCCGCGGTGAGCGTGGGGGCTCTGCCTTGGGAGGGCACGGGACGCCGGGCCGAATGGACCGTCCTGCGCAAGGAGAAACGCGCACCAATGGTGCCGTGGTTTGTCGCACCCAGCAAGGGTGTCGTCGAAGAGTCAGTTTAAGAAGAAGGACGATGCTCGTCCGTATCCGTGTCGTCTGTCGACTGGGGCTCGACACCAAAGACCAAACCTCGACACCAACTCGACACCTCGACACCACTTGCCAAGCAACTCGAACATGACACCCTGACACACCCCTCGACACCATCTAGGCTTGGGACCATGCTCGTCCCGTGTCTAGCTCTAGGTAGGTGCCAAAGAGCACATTCTCGAACCTCCACCCCCAAGCCGTGTCGTCCTCGCCCCACAAAAGCACAAGAATGCTACTCGTGTCGTCCTCGCCCCACAAAAGCACAAGAATGCTACTCGAGTAAAGGCCACTGGGCCGCTCTTCTCGAGCTGTGTTTGCGCTCCCTGTGCGCTCTCCCGTTGCTTCATGTTGCTGGCTACTCTGGAGTCCTCCTGGCTGCTCTCCGCCCACCAGCCGGCCACAGGCCGTCAGTCTCACCGGCCGGCGTCGAGAGAACGGCCAGACTCGACCGACCGGGTGTCGTGCCGCTGCCTGCTTCTCGCGCCGCTGTAGCAGCGCCAGCAGCTCGGCCGCGCATCCTTCACACACGCCGCCACGGCCTAGCTGAGCGGGCCCGGTGTCGAGGTCTGGTGCGAGCTGCATGTGAGGGGCGGCTGTGGCCACAGCAGGTCCACCAGACGGGCGTCAAAGCTTGCCGTAATCCTCGAATCGCCTCGGATGGGGTCCGCCGGAGACATTCTCGAGCCCTCTCCGTGCCATCACGAGCCGGTGTGAGCTTGAAGAGAGAAGACCCGAGGTAAGTGCGGTCTGGGACAGCTCAGGCTTGCTACTGATGGGCCTGGGCCAGGAGGGCGACAGAGAAGGCGAGGTGGTGCGCTGAGAGGCTCATCGGCGATTGTCGCGGCCGGGCAAAGACGGGGACGTAACTTCGCAGTTGGGGGCGACAAGCGGATGAGTCGTATTCTCCCACGAATTTACGGGAAATCCCTCGAATTCATCGACGCGGGCTCTCTCGGCTGCTACGGGACCGGCCCCACCGCTGCGGCTGAGGGCTGACAAGCTGCCGAGCCCAAATCACTCTGAGAGTGGTGATATTTCTGGTTGGTTTTCAAAAAATCTCTCTCCCAAAAAGAAAGAAAAAAGTGGTCAACGAGATGGGAGAAGGCCACAGATTCCCCACCTTGCAAAGGCCTCCGTGACAGGCGAGCGCAGTGGCGCGCGCCCAACGTCTCCCGCTCCACCCTCGGGAGTACCTGTACGCTAGACAGCGAAGGGCGGTGGCCAGTGCGCGAGCGAGGGGAGGGGGCGGGGGGCGGCGGGCGGGCAGGCGGGCGGGGAGGAGGGGAGGGGAGGGTGAGTGTGTGTGTCACACACACACACACACACACAGGGGAGGGGTGGCTTAGCCATCAGCTGCTGTCGTCTCGAGCCGAGGCGGCGGCAGCCGCCGCAGCTGCACCGCCTCCCGTCGCGCCGCGGTCGCCGCCCCCTCAGCGCCGTCGCCGCGTCGTGACCCGCCGCCGCCTCGTGACTGACCGGACAAAAATTCTTTTCCGTAGTTGCGATGGAGCCGGCGGTCGAGCCGGTCGCCTTTTACTACACGGCGCAGGCCGGCGGCGGCGCCTCCGGCCCGTGCAGCATCGCCCAGCTGCGGGTGCTGTGGCAAAGCGGCCACATCTCGCGAGAGACGATGCTCTGGCGCGAGAGCATGCCCGCCTGGCTCAGGCTGGAGGAGGTGCCCGAGGCTTCGAGCGCGCTGCTCTCGCTGGCGCAGCCTCCGCCGGCGGCCGCCGCGCCGGTGGGCGAGTGGTACTACCTCGACGCCGACGGCCGCCAGCGCGGCGCGCTGACGGCGGAGCAGCTCGGCGTGCTGCTGCGCGGCGGCGACGTGGACGGGCTGACGCAGGTGTGGAGGAGCGGGATGGCAGCGTGGGCCGAGCTCTCCTGCGTGCAGGAGCTGCGCGCGCAGCTCCTCTCCGCAGCCGACGACGCCGAAGGCGACGACGCGGCGGCGGGCGGAGGAGGCGGAGGAGGCGGAGGAGGCGGAGGAGGAGGCGGAGGAGGCGGGGCGGAGGAGGCGTACGACCCGGACGAAGAGAGGGTGAGTGCGCGAGTGGCGGCGGCGGGCCGAGTGGCGCCGGCGGCAGGGTCCGCCTTGGCCAGCGGGGAGGCGGCGGGCGGCGGGGACGCCGCTACGTCGGCAAGCGGCGCGCAGGGCGGCGGCGAGGCCAAGCCGAAGCGGGTGAGATATCGCCGAGATGTAGCCGAGATATGGCGGAGGCGGCGCCGGCCAAGCCGAAGCGGGCGCGCAAGAAGCAGCAGCAGCAGCAGCAGCAGCAGCGGCGGCGGCGGCGGCAGCGGCGGCGGCGGCGGCAGCGGCGGCGGCGGCAGCGGCAGCAGCAGCAGCAGCAGCAGCAGCAGCAGCAGCAGCAGCGGCAGCGGCAGCGGCAGCAGCAGCGGCAGCAGCAGCAGCAGCGGCAGCAGCGGCAGCAGCGGCAGCGGCAGCGGCAGCAGCGGCAGCAGCGGCAGCGGCAGCAGCAGCAGCAGTAGCCGGCCTGGGCCGAGGGGCGGTGCGTGTCTCAACACGGCCGGACTTCACACCGTGGCGGTGGTGCGGGCAGGTGCGGAAGAAGAAGAAGCCAAAGTTCGTCGAAGGCGGAGGCAGCAGCGTGTACGTGTGCGGTCTGCCGGAGGGCGAGGAGGCGGCGGCGCCGTCCGCGGAGAGAAGAGTGCCCGAGACTGCCCGAGATCACCCGAGATTGACGTTTGGTAGGCGGCGGCGCTGTCCGCCGAGGTAGCAGAGAGCTTCAAGGTCGCCGGCGTGCTCAAGACGGACCCGGCGGGATGGAGCAGAGATGTAGCAGAGATGTCGCAGAGATGTCGCAGAGATGTTGCAGAGATGTAGCAGAGATGTAGCAGAGATGTAGCAGAGATGCAGCAGAGATGGAGCAGAGATGTCGCAGAGATGTCGCAGAGATGTCGCAGAGATGTGGCAGAGATGCAGCCGAGATGCAGCCGAGATGTAGCAGAGATGCAGCCGAGATGCAGCCGAGAGGCAGCAGAGAGCTGATTGATTAGTGAGTGAGTGTTGCCGGCGGTCTGCTCCCCTCTCTTCCGCAGGCGAGCGGCCAGCCTCGCGTCAAGATCTACTGCGCGCCCGGAGGCGAGATCGGCCCGAGATCGGCCGAGATCGGCCGAGATCGGCCCGAGATCGGCCGAGATCGGCCCGAGAGGACCGGCCCGTGAGGCCGAGGGGCTGGGCGGGGTCTGTGAGGGTGCCACGCTCGCGCCTCTCCCCAGGCACCTCCAAGGGGGACGCGCTGGTCACCTTCCTGAAGGCCGAGTCGGCGCCTCTCGCCGCCGCGGGGCCAGAGCACTCGAGATCGGCCCGAGATCAGCCGAGGTTGAGCCGAGATATCAGGTCCCTCTCGCCGTCACGCTGCGGGACGGGTTCGAGATGCGAGACGGCGCCTCCTGCTCCCCTCCAGCCGAGGCCACCCGCGGAGATCGCGCGAGGTTAGCTCGAGATGCGCCGAGATTAGGCGCGGCACTCAAGGTGCAGCCGGCGCGCTTCGAGATGCGAGGCGAGGCGCTGCAGCAGCAGGCAGCGAGGGGAGGCCGGCGGTGACTCCGCGTGAACTCGGTGCGGGTCCTCATTGAAGCACTGACTCAAAAGGCGCGAAGCAAGGACGACGCGCAGATCGCCCGCAAGAAGCAGCGCCGCCTCGAGCAGAAGGCGCTGTTCACAGCTGCAGTGCCCCGCCGCGGAAGAGGCGCTGTTCACAGCTGTGGTCTGTGAACAGGCCCTCGCGGAGTGGGACGACTCGCAGCTGCCGGCGGGCGCGAGCGCGACCATCGTCGTTCTCCTCGGCCTCTTCGACACCTCCGAGGCGGACGCCGCGGACGTGCAGCTCCCTGCTGCCCGGCTGGTGCACCGCTCCGTGCGCTGGTAGGCGGACTGCGCGGACGCCGCCTTCTACTCGAACTTGCGCGAGGACGTGCGCGTCGAGTGCGGCAAGGCGGGCGCCATCGAGAAGGTGACCATCTTCGAGGGGTCAGAGCAGGGGGCCGCCGCCGTCCGCTTCAAGTCTGCCGAGATACAGCCGAGATACAGCCGAGATACAGCCGAGATGTAGCCGAGCCGCCGCCGTCCGCTTCAAGTCTGGGGAACGTCGCGCGGGGAGGAGGTGTGAAGAGGGCGCTCTTCACACTTCCGGCTGTGAGCAGGTCGGGGGACGACGCGCAGCGCTGCGTCGCGATGATGCGCGAGAAGTCGTTCGGGGGCAGCCAGGCGAGACACTTCCGAGACACTTTCGAGACACTTCCGAGACACTTCCGAGAAGTGGTTTGGCGACAGTCAGGCGCAGTGGCTGCAGTGTGTTGCACACACGCACCCCCCCGCCGTGTGTGCTCGAGGGGGTTGGGCTCTTCTCACCTCCTGGCCCTGCCCCTCGCCTCCTCGCAGGTGAAGTGCGAGCTCTACGACGGCGTGACGGACTACCGCGCCAAGGCGCTCCGCGAGGCGGGCACTTGTTCACAGTTTGCCTGCTCCACTGCTTTCTTGCCTTCGAAGGCGCTCCGCGAGGCGGCGGCCGCGTCGAGCGGCGGTAAGTCGGGCGCCGACGTCGAGGCGCAGGAGGCGCAGCTGGAGAGCTTCGCGCAGTGGCTCGAGGCGGACAGCACCGACGACGAGATCGACCCCGAGGCGGGAGGGGACTAGTGGTAGTGGTACAAGGTATGGTAAGGTGCACGTCTCCACACGCACAGTCGCACACACGGCGGAGGGCAAGCAAGTGCGGTCGACACCGAGCCACTCTCCCTCGCACTCTAACACTCCAACCCTAGGCCTAGCTGCTGCACTTGGCCCATTCGTGAACAAAGCAGACACCAGACCTCGGTTTCCCATAGGGTTTCTGAGGCGGTTTCCCATGGCGTTTTCCCATAGAAAACTTAGGGGTCGGTCGGTTTCTGCGGCGCCGCTCTGTTTTTTTCGACTGTGGACTGAGGTGTATAGGTGGACTTCTCCCGTGTCCCGACCCGCCTCCGCGCCATTTTCCCGCTGTGGGATCTGCCGCAGCTGATCTGCCGTGGGGCGTGGGTCTGGTTTCTGGCGGTGTGAATTCATCTCCCGCTTCGGCCTAAATGAGCTCATTCCGGCCGATGAACAGGTGAGAGGTGTCCCCATTCCATTTTTTTTCAATCCCCGCCTCTGACGACAGTCAGTCAGTGTTACACACACCTCCTAGCATGGAGGACGGGCCCACACGCACACACACGCTGCACACGATTGGCTCGGGAGCCGACACGAGGCACACTGTCACCGGCCGTAGCACCGGGTCCGGACTGCTGGACACACAGCTGACAGCTGACAGCTCACAGGACAGCTCACGAGGTGGCGCTATGTAGTGGGGTTCTCAGGGACTGACACGGGACCCTGAGAACCCCACTCATAGCGCCCCGCCTGACGAGGAGGATCTAAAATAAAGAAAGAAAACAGCCCAGCCAAGGGAGGGATGGCAGGACGGCAGCCGCCACCCCACAGTTAGTTAGTTAGGAAGGTGAAGAACAGCCAGGCTCGGACTGGACACCAACGCGGTATGGGTGGACGCTAGACAGATGATGACGACACGCAGGAGCGACACCACAGACACAAAACTCAGTGGATGTGGCGTGAATGCTTTAGCATTCTCGCCCGCTCTGCTGAGGGGAGGGGCAGGACGAGCGGTCGCCTGAGGCGCCTATCTCTATCCACCCTCTCTTGTGGTTTGCCAGCGGGGCACGTGGCCAAGGACGACGTTTCAGATCGCGCGTCCGCTTGTTTGCGCACCCGCGTGCTCGTCCACGCCACTGTCCTCCCGCCCCCTTTGATCTCTGTCGCCTGTCGCTGATGTCTGCCATTGAGACGCTTGTGGAAGTGGCGCTTGCTAAGGCCACCAAGGACAGTGCCGTGCATGGCGTGGACAAGGATCAATACCTGTTGTGTTCCTCTGTCGTCAAAGCCGATGTGCGCAATTACCATACCGTCAAGGTGCTGCAGAAGGGACTCGACGAGAGCCAGGCCAAGGCGGCCGCTCTCGCCCTGCTATCGCAGCAATACCCTCAGCTGGCCGCAGGCGGAGGCACCGCCTCGGATGGCCCCGCCGATGCGGCAGAGAAGGTTGTCAAGACACTTGAGCGTTTGTCGTCATCACAGTTGGGTCACCTGGCCGCGGGCTGGGCCACGCAGCTCGGAGAGGCATTCACCAACGCGAGCATTCTTTCGACAGTGGAGGCCGGCTCGCTCGCGGGCCGCACCGGCAGCGGCAAGGTGCCGCTCGAGAGCGGTGAGGAGGCGCAGATGTCTTACACCGTCATCCAAGGACCATCCGAGGGCATGTACGTGCTCGAGGAGAGCGGAGCACAGGGCGAGCCACGACGCTCGGTCATCCTCAACACCACGCTGGTGACCCTCATGCTACAGCCGACGCAGGCACACGTCGTCTCGAACGCGACGCTTGTCAAGATCAACGGCTCGAGCAGTGCTCTGGCTGTTTTCCGCAAGTTGCCCAAGTCAGGCAGCGCCGCCGAAGACCACGTCTCGCTAGAGGAGATTCTCCAGTTAGCAGACGGTCTTCCGGCCGCGGGCGCGGTCTCGCTCTCGGGAGAGGAGCGCGTCAAGACGTTCGCCCGGGCTCTCGAGGCCAAAAGTCTCCGGCGGAGAAGGCTCTAGCTGGTTGGCGGCAGTTGGGGACAAGGCGACCTACTCCGTCTTCGAGCTTCGGAGTCAGCTCGAGAGGCTTGGCCCCGACTTCACGCCGGTCGCCGCGCTGCCCGCACCCAAGTCGTGCGCGGAGTTCTTCACGCGCAACATCCGCGGGGAGAACTGGGGCGACTTCGCCAAAAGGGTCGCCCCTCTGATTGAACCCGATGAGCAGCGGTGCAATTTCATCCGCTCCAGCGAGGCGGTCCTTCGCGACGCGATCGAGCGATGGCTGGAAAGTGGGCTCGGCAGCCTCCGAGAGGCTTCCGTTGCGTCGCTCGCCCTTCGCACCGACTGGTCGGTGGACGCAGCGTGCTCGCTGATGTACCAATTTGCGATGGCCAAGGACCAGCAGCGGCTCGCCCCGCCCACTCCGCCACCGGGCGTGCCGCCCCCGATCCTTACGCAGCCGATCATCAAGATCACGACGGGCGGATCGGGTGAGGGCGGCGACGAGGCCCTCTCCGCGGCCGCTGCCGCGCAGAGCTTGACGACCGCGGAGCGCGAGTGCGTCAAGAGGCTCGCCGCACTCGCCGCCATCGAGGACAACAAAGGGGTCGATGAGATCGCCAAGTACATCGACGGCGCGTCGTCAGCAGGCGCGCCCTCCCCGCACATCATGCGCCTAGTGCACGCGACAGACGCTAGCGTAAACAGCCTTGCGTCGTCGTACGTTGCGGACGACGGTTTTGTTGTCGACCTTCGGTCAATTCGCCGGGCCATGCTTCGCCGTCTGGAGTCAATGCACTTTGGCTTCGCGACTGACAAGCAATGGTCAGAGGAGCAGCGGCGCCAAGCAGGACGCATTCGCGTCGGGCGCTTCAGCGAAGTGGACATCGCCTGCCTTTTGGAGGGCCAGGAAGACGGCTTCTCCAAGAAGGCGCCGCTGGCGCACATCAAGTGCCCTGTCAAGCTGCAGATGGCGCTCGGAGTCTTCTTCAGCATCTGGGCAAAGGCACACCTCACCTTCTCCAGCCATATCCTCGCCTTTGGCGCGAATGTGGCCCGCTTTCTCCACCAGACGCGGGAGGACGGAGCCTCGTGGGAGCAGCTCTCGGACTACTGGCGGAAGCTGATGCAGAAGTGCGAGCAGCCCGCGCTCCGCTTCGAGCGCAAGGAGGCACTCGCCCCACTCCAGCCGCCGCTACTCAAGTGGGCGGACGACCGCTCCGTCACACACGTTGCGGAGCTCATGGACGCCGTCAACCGGAGCGAGCGAGAGCGGCTCGCCAAGCTGCTCGAGGAGGCGCGCGCGCCGAAGGAGAGCGCAGAGCTTGCCGAGCTCCGCAAGATGGTCAAGCAGCAGGGGAGCAAGCAGGAGCAGCACGAGGAGCGCCTCGTCGCCGTCAAGAAGCACTTGGCCGGCGGCGACGGCGGCGGCGGTGGCGGCAAGCACAGCAAGCGCGGCGGCGGCGGTGGCGGCCGCGGCGGCGGCCGCGGCGGCGGAGGCGGCGGCCGTGGCGGCGGAGGCGGCAACTCGCAGAAGCCCGGGGAGACCCAACAGGAGCTCAACGCCCGCCTCGGCCGCAAAGACGGCAAGGACCCGTGCTGGTTCCACCACATCAAGGGCTCCTGCCGCTACGACGCCGCCGAGTGCCGCGGCCATCACGGCTGATGGCCAGCGGCAGCCTCCGACCCGCCCGGCGGCCCATCGACGCCGAGTGTGGTGCCCGAGGCAACCGTGCCAGTGTCGTGCGTGACTGATGTGAGTGATTCGGCTGTGTGTGCGCATGGGTGTGATACGCAGCATGACAGCGGAGGGGAGGGCGGCGGGAGCGATGTGGAGGTGGGTTCTAGTGCGCCCCCGCCGCAATCGCCGCATCCCCGAGACGGACGGAAGTCCGTCGATCGAGATTTGGCAGCAGCTGCTCTGGGCAGCTGCGACACTAGCCCGAGCGCGCCGCGCGGGCTCCTCCTGCACCTGTTCGCGGGCGGGCCGCGGGATGGGAGCTTCGCGCACTTTGCCACCGCGCTCGGCTTTGATGTGATTGAGAGAGACATCATCCTCGACCCCGGCCATAACCTGGTCGACGATGGCGTCTTCGCCGAGGTGATGGAGCTCATTCAGAGCGGCGCGGTCAAGGCGGTGCTTTTGGGCACGCCGTGCGGCACCTTCTCCGTCCTGCGCATCCCGCAGCAGGATGGTCGAGAGGGCCCGCCGCAGCTGCGCGACCGGCTACACCCCATGGGCATGCCCGGCGTGCCGCGCCAAAACCTCAACGAGCTGGCGACCGCAAACGTTCTCGTGCGTAGAACCGTGATCATCGCTCAGGCCATCGCCGACGCGGGCGGCGTCTTCATCATCGAGAACCCGCCCGACAGAGGCGATGGCCCGCTCTACCAGGCCAAGTTTGCATCGCACGCGCCTCTGTGGCTGGTGCCAGAGGTCATCGAGCTCGCCGACCGCACTGGAGCGATCAAGATCACCTTCCCCCAGTGCGCCCTCGGCTCGGACTTTCAGAAGTGGACGACGCTGCTGGTCTCGCCGCAGCTAGTCCCGCAGCTCGTGGACCTCTCGAGGCTCGCGTGCCAGCACCCCGACGGCCACCGTGACGTCGCTGTCGGCGCACGTGCAGCGCGGGCTGCTGCGTACCCTCCGTTGATGAACCGCAGACTGGCCGAGGCGATCTCGGACTGCCTCACGTCGCTCGGCGGCGGTGCTCCGAAGGAGAGCAGCCATCTCGCCGGCGACGCTGCGGGCGAGGCTAGCGAGCCGGCGGGCGAGGATCTCGACGCCCCCGCCGCCGGCCGCGGCTCGCCAGGCATCGTCGCAGATGCTGTCGATTGCCGTCGTAACGATCTGCGTGGCAGCAAAAGGTCGCGCGACGGGATGCGCGACGCGCAGCTGTCTCAGCGCGCGCGACAGCGACTGAAGCGGCGGCAGGCCGCATCCAGTGGTGAGGCAGGCGACGGGCGAGGTCCTGGGTGCAGAACCCGCCCCGACCCTGCCGATCCACCGGAGCGCGACACTGCTGCCGACACCGAGCTACTGCCAGAGGCCGCGCAGGCGCCCGCCATGGCGGTCGGGTCTGCCATGCCCCATGCGGGGCCGCTCGGCGAGGTGGCGGTCGGCCTGCGGTCGGACGAGGGGTCGGTCGACATCACACGCCTCGGCGTGCTCGGCAATCCCTTTCCGATCCGCCCTCTCGTCGCGAGGGGCATGGACAACGAGGTGGCGCGCCGCGCAGTGTGCGACGCGCACAGGCTCTACCTGCGGCGCGTCATGAACAGGCAGGAGGCCGATCTCGCAGAGATAGCAGGCACAGTCGGCGCGCCAGCCGACGGTCAGCCTCTCGTCTATCAACAGCCTCCCGCACCGGAGGCAGTGCGAGGCGAAATCGACCGTCTTGCATTCGTCGTTGCCCGAGGTGGTCGCCTCCTCCTCGGCTGCGTGTGCGCACCCGAGCAGTGCCACGGCGACGCCGTGAAGGAGGCTATCCTCACGGCGGCGATGGAGAAGCGGATCTGCGCCGAGCCGCGCGGCCCGCCCGCCTCCGGCTCGCTGCGGAGGCTGGTTCCCGAGCAGGAGGACGTTCTCCGAGGTAAGCTGCTGCCCGTCGCCAACGAGCCGCCATCGACCGACCCCGTCGAGCCGCCCGCCGAAGATCGGACTCCGCCGGCCCCGCTGCGCACAGCGGAGCTCATCCCTGGGCCAGTCATACGGCGGCTGCGGCGGTTCCGCCGGGACGTACGCAAGTGCCTGCGGCTGGCGGCCAAAGGCGAGTGGAAGCGAGCGAGGGGCGCTCGACCCGAGGCCATCTACCTCAGCGAGGAGGAGGCGATCCTTCCGGCGGGCCGAGGCTGGACCTGGCGCCACGATCCCGACGCCGACCTGTGGCACCCGATCTCGCCCTCCGCGTGGCCCTCCTCCGAGCCCGTCGGCGAGCTCGACCGCGCCGCCGTCGCCGAGCTCGCCACCGATTACCCGGACCAGGAGATCGTCTCGTACATGTTGCACGGATACCCGGGCCCGCGCATCTCGCCGAGATGCCTGCTCGGCCAGCCGCACGTCGGCGCGCTCAAGGAGCACGCCGGCTTTGCCAAATGCGCGGCCAAGGACCGCGCCAAGGGCTGGGTCGAGGCTGGCAGAGAGCTTCCTCCCGTCTGGCCTTACTGCGCCGACCCCTTCAACGTTGTCGAGCGTTATGGCAAGTACCGCATGACCATCGACAAGACGATGACGCTAGTCCCCGGTGTGACCTCGTACAATGACTCGGTCGACCTCGACTCGATCGACCCAGTCGAGTACGCCACCATCGGGGACCTTGCCGAGGCGTCCGCGATACTCGCGACCGCCGGAGTGCCCATCGCGCTCTGGGGCTTCGACCTGGAGGCGTACTTCCGTAAGACCGGCAAGCAGCGGCGCGACGTTTGGATGTCCGGCTTCGTCCACGAGGACGGCTTCGGACTCGACGAGCGGATCCAGTTCGGGCAGCGCGAGGCTCCAGTCCTCATGTCCCGACAGAGCTGCTATCTCGTCTGGGCGATACGTCGCGAGATCGAGCGGCTCGAGGCCAAGTACCCGCCGAGGGACCCCGTGGTCAGGCGCTGGCTCGAGGCGCGGCGTCGGCTCGCTGCCGGCGCCGCGGCGTACCGCGGGGCCGCTCTCTCCTTCATCCTCATGTACGTCGACGACCTGGGCGGCGTCTGCGTTGATGACGACGTCGAGGTTGACGGAGTCGTGTGGCGGCGCAGCCAGCTTTACTACGAGGCCGCCAAGGCTGTGGTCGAGCAGCTCGGCCACTCCATGGCCGACGACAAGCTCAGCCCACCTTCGCGCGAGGGCATGGAGTTTCTCGGCGCGTACCTGCGGATCCTAGATCAGCGCGTCCTGCCCGCCGAGGGCAAGTGCGAGAGGTACGCCGCGGCGACTCGCGCCGTCCTCGATGTGGAGCCGTCCGGAGGCGTCGTGGTCGTGCCGAAGGAGGCGCTGAACTCGCTCACGCACAAGCTGCTGCACGCGGCCTCGTTCATCCCGCTCGGTCGGCAGCATCTGTATCACGTGCGTCGCGCCCTCAAGGCTGAGAACAGGCTCGCCGGCGCGAGGGCGACGCTCGGCAGGGCCGCGCTCGCCGAGCTGCGGTGGCAGCTCGCTCAGCTGGAGCTCCAGGAGCCCGTCGGGGTACCGTTTGCCACGCGGAGCCGCTTCCCGGCGGCGGGATCAGCCGGAGTGCTGACGCCCTACTCGGACGCCTCGAAGGAGGAGGACTCCTCCGAGAGCGGCTTCGGCGCGTGGTGCGTCATCGACGGCACTTTCGTGTACGTCGAGGGTCGCTGGACGCCGGAAGAGTGCAAGCAGCACTCGATCAACGTCCTCGAGCTCGCGGCGATGAACATCGGCACGTTCGCCTTCCTCGACTACGCCGAGGGGCGCGGCTTTGACGTGCAATACGTGCACGAGTTCGTCGACAACGAAGCCGCCGAGTTCGTCGCTGACCGCGGCAAGCCGCGGGCGCCCGCGATGGAGGACCTGCTCGGGAGACGTTACGAAGCCTTTTGGGATCGTGGCATCTTCGCCGCCGCCTCGCGCATCGCCTCCGTCGATAACGACATCGCTGATGGCCTGTCGAGGGGCGGCGAGAGGCTCGAAGACGCGCTGCGGATCGCCGCCGCGTCGGGCATGCCGACTCTCAAGCTCGAGCCGCAGCCGCGGTGGCGACAGCTGTCGTGAGTCCGTCCCGGGCCGTGTAGGGCGCCGCGGGCGGCGGGTGGCTGGTTGCCCCCAGAAACCAGCTCGGGTACCAGTCTCGCCGACGTCGGGCGGGACTGGTACGGCAGTGGAGGCAGGAAGCCGTCCTGCCCGCGCCGACCGGACGGAGTAGTCCGCCGAGCGCGCCGTGGGGCCTGGAGATGCCCCGGAGCCAAGGAGCGTGCTGTCAGGGTCCCCTCAGGGAGCGACTGCACCGTGCTGTCAGGGTCCCCTCCGGGGAGCGACGGTTCGAAGGGCGCTGTCAGGGTCCCCCTCGGGGAGCGACGGCGCCCGACCGTCAGGGTCCCTACGGGGAGCGACGGCTGAAGCGCAAGGGGTACTGTCAGGGTCCCTTCAGGGAGCGACGGTGCCCTACTGTCAGGGTCCCCTCCGGGGAGCGACGGTTCGAGGGGCGCTGTCAGGGTCCCCTCGGGGAGCGACGGCGCCCGACTGTCAGGGTCCCTACGGGGAGCGACGGTACGCAGCCACGGCAAAGGGCCTGCGCTGCAGTGGTCGCCACTTCAAATGGACTGGCGGGCAATGGGTGGATGACGAACGGCGGAACAATCCGTGGCATGGTTGCTCGGCCGGGAGCGTCGCTCTGATGAGCAGCGCCTCCCTCTCCCCGTCCTAGTCCCACCACACGCCTCGTGCGCATTGCCACCGGCGACTCGCCGGTCATCCGCATCTCTCTGGCTTTCTCAGGTGAGGAAAGGCCGCCTCAGCCGGATCCCGGGTACGGCTACGCCGCGATGCCGGGCTGCGAGGCGAGCCGAGAGAGCACCACCCCGGTACCTGATCCATCGAGCCAAGCGCCCGCCCTCGCCCCGCACTGGCCGGGGAAGCGGAGTGCGCCGGAGCCGGATCCGCCGCGTTGGCGCGTCGACGAAGCGACGAGGGCAGCCGGGGCTGGCCGCGTCGCCGATCCAGAGAGCGCCCGGCGCGGAGGCAGCGCCGGAGGTGCCGGGCAGGGGGCCGTCTGTGACCCGTTCGTGGGGGGCGCGCCGCTCACTGCCGTCGCCGTCGAACGACCCGGCGACGCAGACGCGCCCAAGGCCGACGCTGCCCCGATGGGGAGCGCGTACCGCGAGCTCGAGACAGCCTCGGAACGGACAAGAGCCGGTGGCGCCGTGCTCGCGGATCCGAAGCTTCGCCGGATGAGCGTTCGTTTCGCAGAGGCGATGGCGGTGCCGCCTGGAGACTTCGTGGAGGAGGAGGGCGGCCAGCGCGTCTTCGTGAAAGACGAAATCGCGCCCAGCCGCGCGTTCGCGGCGCTCTCGATCAAGGATCCAGCCGCGCGCGACGCGATCGGCTCGCAGTACCTCGACGACGAGGGTGAGCCGTTCAAGTACTCGTTCGACGCCTCCCTCGAGCCCAGCTCGCACCCGCTGGACGCGGAGAAGCAGCTGGAGCTACGAGGGCTCGACAAGGGGATCGAGCAGGCGCTCGAGGCCGCCACCCGCGATAGAAGG